GGCCTTTTCATTCCATAACAATTTGTTTATACATTCAATATTGTTTAGTGATATTGTTATTTTTTCCCACAAGAAAGCATCACTTTTGTAACAACCGCACGCATCTCCATAAATATTTCTCTCTCTCTCCTCCTTTTCACCCTCAAAAATACATCCTCTCGTCCAGTAGATACAGATTTATGCATTTATTGGACTTTACACATTTTGCCTAGAATTTCCTTTGACGCCGCAGTGAATCATCATTGGTGTGTCTGTGGAAAGGCCGCAAAAAGGATGCTCTTTCTTCTCTGTTGCATAAATTTCCCGAACTCTTTTTGCGCTTCGGACAAGATTTTTATGAATGACTCAAAATTTACACACAGCAATAAAACGAAGGATTCATATGAGCAATCCTGTGCACATGATATGTACTCCTTAGACTTCTTATGTAACCTTTTCTGCAAGGAGAAGGTTCAAGTTTGCACTAAAAACAATCATTTTTCTTACACTTAGTAACCAATAAACCATTGACGAGTATACAGGACTAATTCAGTATTCCGTAAAGCCATCGTTTTGGCCAGGTAACGATCTGAACATTACGAACTACGAACGATATAGCATACATGAACTTGGATACACTGATATAGTGAGTATGGGAGGAAAAGAAGAAAGAGGGCGAGATGATGCGCCGAAGGAGATGAAAAAGAGAGAAGCTACTCATCATTGTGTCTATTTAGTACATAAAAATGCTCCTTGCTCTCCAATATCTTTTGTATAAGAAAAATCTATTTGGTCAGCCGCATTCTCACTTGTGTCTTGTGCTGGAGTCAACCATAATCAATGAGACTAACAGCGAAGAGATTTGTAATTCAGAGTGCTTCTGCGATGTGTCTCTTTTGTCCATCTCTCACGAATTTAAATCTCATCTTTCATGTGGATCTTTTCACCCAGAGCCGGGCACATTTAGAGGGAATAATAAATATTTGAGGGATTCTCCCATCTCTCTTCCTGTTGGTAAAATTCTTACCAATTTCACACTCTTGGACAAGAAGAGGAGGTCAGGAACAGCGTAGAGAGCAAAGGTATTTTTCGGCACACAGAAAACACATAAGAATAAAAGGATGCGGTCAACAAATATCAAACATTGAAGGGAAAAATAAATATCCTGATTCCTTGAGGTGCACTATTTGACTTTTTTATACGTCTCTTCTTTGGCATTATTCTCTGTGGACACCAGAGTGTAAACTTTTCAATTTTCACACAAAACTGATGCTCTCTTTGTCAAGTCAACGACAAAAAAGCACCGACACGGCGTTAGAGGAAATCTTTTCCATATTTGCACAATGTCCTTTGGTTATTTTCCTCAAGTGCCAAAAGAGATGGATAAAAAATCTCTCCATTTCCGACATCGCACTGCTTGAGAGGGAAGGATTTAATAAATCAATGGAATTATCCTTAAAGGTACTCACGCGAGTTTTGTTGGTTTTCTCATTAAAATGTCACAGACAAGTCAAAACTTTTAATCTTCACAGTTTCTCATTTTCCCATCTTCGAGAAAAGAAAGCAAACTCAGAGAGAAACACTCGAAATTCATTGATTTTTCAGTTATTCTTTGTGCCTCTTCTGTTAAGGAGTCTTTCAATGAAATAGAGAAACTCATTATATCTCTAAGTGTCTCATTATAAAGTTTATGAACTCATGAGAAGATGCTTCATTACACGAGAACATATCTTTACACAATCTCAGACAAATAATGTAACAGAATTTGATTTACACCTCTCTAGACCATAAAATTCCCCAGAAGTACCTCAATAGATCTTTAAATTGTGACCATTTCACAAGGAATTCAATTAAAAAGTGCAATAGTTGAAAGCATGCGGCAAAAGTGTTAAGCAAATAAGGTCTTCTTGTCAATACAAAACTCTGCTGTCTTTGTCATTTCCGCCAAAAGGATACATCCTCGACAACATTGGCCACAGAGCCACCCCACTGAGGAGGGAAGTTCTGATTCGGTGTCAACTACTTCAAGTACAAAGCCAAGGTTCTTCCTTTCTTCAGTGCCGAGTCAAATTCAAGGTGGATGCGCAAAAAACTTCCTATTGATTGTGTCAAGATGTTGTGAAACATTTCATTTCTTTGCCCGAAAGAGCAACGAAACAAACGGATTTTTGAGCGTTTAAGTTTTTCAGGAGAATCTATGTGAGATTTTGCATAGAAATGACAGCAGAAAAACGAAAGACTCTAACAGACGACGAACCCGGTCAGCATTCCTTCGAAATGAGATGCCATAAAATTCAATTCACTCTCACGTGTTTATAAATTATCACATATTAGAATCTCAAGAGTTTAATCTCAAATTAGGTGTTTTATATGTAAAATCACCCGGAGTGAGAAACAATTTTAACCATTTCCTAATAAGTTCAACAATCACCTGGAATCCAATTACAGGCCATAGTGAGAACTTTTACACTCAAATTTACTTAATTTTTTTTTCATTCAAAGCACCAGGAGCGAATTCAGGGTGATCAATAGTTTTTCGGCTTTGACACGTAGAAAGCGTAGAAAAAGGAATTATCTTCAATACTTTATACTGGTTCTTCTCTAATTGTACGCCTCGTTCTGTATAATTTTATTTATTGGTCAAAGCCATCTTGTGATTTCTGCATTTGCCATGAGAGCACCCTCCAAAAGCGGGCCCCTTTGGGCAAATCACCTCCCAGAAAGAGTTCCATAAAGTGTAAAAGTCCCCAGAGGCGCTCCTGTTTCTCTGATCTCACTTGCATGTGAATTTCCTTCAATCGAGCAGATGAAAAAAAACAGCTCAGAGATCGAGGCGGTAAGTGGAGATTTTTATCGTGGTGTCATGAATGAGAAAAGAATGAAGAATGAGGAGGAGACATGAAAAAAACTTGTATAAATATGCAGTGAAATTTACATTGAGAGGGTGAGAGAGATAAACACAATTAACTACGCACAATCACCATGTAATTGACAAAACGATCGTGTTGTTGATTTTAATTAATTGAGCGTCGAAAACCAATACGCGTCGTTCAGATTGTTTCGTGGCTGCCCTGTCGAGTGCATTGACAAATATTACAGCCGCGCGCAGCGTGGAATTTCCCAGAAAGAGGAACTCTCCTTTATATTGGAGGAAAAGTATTCGTCAGATCGCCTGTTTGTTCAGCAATTGCAACGTTTCGTTTAGTGCTCAAGTGCATGAAATTCCTCTCGCGCTTCGCCTTTGACACACAAATTCTTCTCCAGTGCGAGGAAGCGAGCAAATTCGGCGGAGAAGACATCTTTTCTGTTGAATGAATTCCCCTTCCTTCGCACGTCCGCCTCTGCTTCTCGCGCGGCCTCTTTAGCGGCTCTCGCCACAAATCTTCCTCTGAAGCGATCCGGGACCACACACGCACAGGCACGCGCGGCGCTGACAGAGTGGTACGAACGAGGAGATTACAAGTGGTGGTTAACCATTCAGGGCTGGCGAGCTTCTGTGCCAGCGACTTCGAATAGACTGAGTGCACTCTGAGGGCTTTTTGTGTGTAAAGGATTCACAGATTTACTGAATGACTTTCTGGGAGAGATTTAAGATCGGAAGTGCTAGAAAATGGGGATCATTTCATGGGTCAAATTCGCCTCACGTTTGGGTTAATGGGTTAATGATCTGCGATTGTGTGCGAGAAGTATGAGGCTAAAAGCGCACTCAGTGTATTTCCAGGACCACACACTAGATGGCACGCGAGGGACCCTCATGAGACCGGCTGATGAAGGGTTCATCATTCACGGAAAACAAATACCATCATTTGCTCAGCCTACTCAGTGCATGTTGGCAATTGCATATTAATTAAACTGAAATATGTGTCTTAAGAATTGTCATATCTCTCAACGCTTTCAATTAATTTATGGCTAATAAATCTAAATAAACATTTAAATAATTTAACTGCATTCGGTGGGAAAGAATGGGAAAAATGTAAGAATCTTGAATGCTTTGCATTTGCAGAATTATAATCTTACTAAACATACCAACTCATAATCATTTTCACATAAACTTACCAAGTTGTTGGATGATCACCTTTTATCACTGAACATCACGTCGTGTTTTGAGATCCACCACTTCATATTTCTTCTATTTCTTCAACTGGGGGTTTGGTGATAAATTTTCTAAAATCCTCCACTATCTCACGAATGCAATTACGAGGATTAGTACAATGTTGAGAGCACAAACGATCAATACTTCACGAGAGACCACACAGTCAGTCGCAGGCACGCGCGGTTCGGATCACAGCTTCTCACTGTTTACTCTTCATCTCCTCTGCTTTCCATAATCTTCACTCGATCGCGATCGCGCGTCCCTCTCGCACTCGCTGCGCGGCACCGTGGGATCTGTGCTGGCCGCGAAGCTGTGCGCGGAGGAGCATCAATTCAATTATTCAGAGATGCTGCGGCAAAAAGGATTGTTGGTGTGCGGGGCCGCCGAGAAATGGGTCTATATGGTGTCGTAGGAGCGATCTTCGGCGCGCTTTTGGCTTCTTGTTTCGCATTAATGCATCTGTGTGCGCCTGCGTGTTTCTCCAGAGCCTCTCGAATCATAGACAAGAATGGGACCACCCGCAAGCCAACAGGAAAAATGCAACAATTTTTCGGTGTTTTGCATTTCTCTTTTTGCCCATTTTTTGCGCACTGCCTCTAAGCTCATTCCCTGTGATCGTTGTTATGATCTCTAATGACATCCACTTTGTATTGTTGTCGTTTTTTTTGCATCTTTTTCTGCCCATCAAGCTTTTTCTCCTCTCTGCTTTCGAGTACATTCCTCAAACGGAAGGTGCCCCTAAACTATCAATTCTCACGTGAGACAACTTGAATGGGAATCAAGAGAGAGAGAAAAAACCGTGCCGAAAGAGGTGGAGTTGATTCTGTGGAGTGAAACCGGCAATTATCCCCCAAAACATCTCCTGAGAATTGATTTTGGGGAACCAAAATTAATTATCTCGCCATTTGGCATCGTGCAAAAAAGTGGCTTCAATTTTATAATTTATTTTTTGTTTCATATTTCTCATCTCTTTAGTATACAATAAATAATTGTAATAAGCAAATTACAGATTATAACTGTTCCATATAAAGCATCTCTCTTTATTTTATCCGTTCCTGCAGTTAATATTCCTTTTTAATTCTTCGTTATTTTCATTGTAATTAACTTCTTTTGCTCTCAAACTTGTTTATCGCGCCCTCGTGAATCTCAATGTGTTATATCAATTAGGAAAATCATGAATCAACTAATACAGTAACAACATTTATTACTTTATATTATTAATGATATTACATGTTTCCATACCCTAGAGATAGCTCTTCTATCACTCCATGCAGCATCATTGTGGAATTTGGGAAAATTTATCACAATTAATCGAATATAATTAGCGTTGACGTTTGTCAATTATGAACAGGGAATTTTTATTATTTCACTTTTTATTGACATATTCTTTTTTTCAATCACATTCAGTTAAAAACAGATTGTATGAATTTTTAGTGACATTTTGATGCTGCATTTCATTATTCTGAGGGTTTCACCTGATTTTCATTTCATTCCTACAAATATTTTGATGAATATTTTCTCATATTTTTTTTAATTTTATGTTATAATTCAGGTTGCCTAATATTTTCATCGTCACTTCTCTTCACCACAGTGCTTTTATCAGGAGGAATTCCATTATATTTTCACAAGTTTCTTTCCCATTATGTGTTACTTAGAAATCCTTAATTTTCCAAAGTAAGATTCAGCCAGACTTTGTACTCGACTTTTTCTCTATATCATGATTCAAAAAATTGTTCACACTGATTTTTTATTTCTTTTTGCAAACCTTCAAATATGTTTCAATTCTTTCTCTTTTTTTTACCATAAAATTATTTTTATAAGATATATTTTGAATAGATTTCAATATATATTTTTTTGGAATTATATGTCTCTCACAATTCGCGCTTTCCCGCGTAATGTTTGCTTTTTCTTTCAAAAGAATTCAAGTACAGGAAAATACAATTTTGGTTCATCGCAGGATTCTATAAAATTATAAATGCAGGTATTTTTTTTCATCTTGTTTACTGAATGATTTTAGAAATTGCTTGTAATATTTCATATATTGTTTTAAATATTAGTTTTGCGTAAATGTTATATCGTTGACTATTTTCATTTTGTATATTTAACCATTTCCATATTTGCAACATTTTTTCTTTATTATTTACTTGTTCTCTTATCTCCATCTATTGTGATTTGTCCTTTCATTGTGTCTTCAATTTATTATTAATTTCTCATATTCGCTTTTTTCAAATTCCAAAATTTCTAGTCAACTCTTTTATTTATTAATTTCTAATCCTACTTCTCGAATTTATCCTTCTCTTCACTCTCTCTATCTCTCTCTTCTTCAGTATATTAAGAATTGTAAATTTGTTAAATACTACCTACTTACACTTTTTTCAATTTTTTTTTAATATCAATAAATGATTTTTCTTTACTCTTTTCAAAAAGGAAATATTCATTTCAATCTTCTTTCGTTCACTTTTCAAATGTAGTCATGAGATATTATGAAAATAGAAAAATTGTAAAATGCGTAGAATAACAAAAAACAAAGATTTTCATTTAATTATACATAATATTAGTTATAAATGATATTTCAGTTGTATTGCATATTTATTTAAGTTTCTTTCGAGACTAAAACTGAATAGTGCAAAATAGGATATTACAAGGGATTTTTCTCGACAAATTGAAGAATTCATATCTAAACTGCAATCTTTTGTTATCATTTATAATTAGCAGGATAAAAACAATGATTATCACTAGTGGTATAGAAACCCAAATATCTTTGTATTAAAATAATTTCAGTTTCATCAGACTTTAGTGGCATTTTTTTTTCATTCCATAAGTGAATTCTCCAATTTGAAAAAAATATTTTTCTATATAATATTTTTCGTTAATTATCCCACTAATTCACTTCGTCACAATCTATTTTTCTTTTAATACACTGAGAATAATAATTAGTATAGAAATTATTCTTACCCTATTTTTTTATGATTTGTGTATATTGTTTTCATTTGTGTATTTGTTAGAGTTTTGATATACATATTATATTAGTAAAATAATAAAAGTAAAACAAAAATTATGCAAAAAGTGCTTGTGATTTATGTATAGGTCAGTTCATAAGGTTTCTTTCATTTTTTTCTTCTCCTTTTATAAAATATCATCACAAAATTTCCTTTCATAAACCTAGTTATCAAAAAAGCTACAATTTCTTTTCTTCTTCATTTTCCTTTAAAGAAAGACTACAAAAAAATAATTTGCTGTAAACTGAATGTTAGTAAACATAATTTTTTTCTCATTTCATTTAATACTGTAGTGACACGAAGAATATCATGTAATAATTTTGAATAAAATTCCTACCAAAGAAATGCTATTAGAGAATTAGTCAGAAATGGATTTTTCGTTTTTGCTGCTCAAGACACTTTTTTGCATAAAAGCTCGTTATAATATAAGATTTTTTTTTCTTTATTCACAAAAACATTTAAGTTTATGTAAATGTTGCAGTGAAAGATCATAGTTTATATGCTGTTAAAATATTTTTTTTTTAAAGAACTAAAGATTAAACATGAATGTAGATGTTTTTTTAAGTGATAAAAAATAAAATTCAATTAAAATATAATTTGTTATCCTACCTATTCTACTTCATTTTTTTTCTTCTTTTTGTCTGTGTTTTCTTTTATATTTCAATACATATCAAGAATATAATATTTTTAATGTATTTCTTGTAATAGAGAAAATTACACTCGTATTTTTCTTATTCCTTCCTTCACACCCCCTACTCTGTCTCTGTGTTTCTCTCTCATCAAAATACAATATGTAAATATTCTCCTCTCTAAATAATTTTTTTTTATTCATCCAAGTTTATGATTCCTTATCAACTTTGTCATAATGCTTTTGCATTATTTTTCCACATTTCAATGATCTTATCAATTTTCTTCAATGACATAAAATCATAATTTTAAGTATGTCGCACAAATATCCTCTACTCTTTCTGTTCAATTGCGAGGATCCATGACAAACTAAATTCTTCTCTATTATCAAAATTGTTTTCTGTATTAATCTTTATATGTAGAGTGTAAGTGTTTAATAAGAAAGTTTCTTTGCTCTTCAAGAGGGAAAAATACATGTAAATTTGTTTTGGGTTTTATTTCAAATTCGGTTTCTCATGTTATTACTTATTATTTTTGTATCTTGTGTATTGGTTTATTTTCTTTTTTCGTCATTATTTGAGCATAGTTTCTACATAGAAAAATGTAGTTCAAAAATTAGAAGAAAATCTAGTACGTATAAAAGGACCATTTAATTGTAGATTTGTGGGTGTTTTCTTAACTTTTTCAAAACTTTCACTCTGTCTCTCTCTTTCTCTCTCTATCAATTCGTTATTCTCTTATACAAATACTTTCATCCATTTTTATGCTCATATAAAAATCAGTCATTTTGATATTTTCCTTTTAAATAATATAACTTGTTTTCTTGTATCTTTTATTTGGGAGTTGAGTTTTTAGCATTTGGAAAAAGTTTAGAGAAGTTTGTAAATTATTAAAGTGATTATAGATATCTATTCAGGGATAAAAAGTTCAAATAAACTGTACAAGAGAGTTAATGTCACACAATGCCATTCCCAACGCCCTGATTCACACAATTTAGAAACACTTTTTTCATGTGTGGATCTGTCATAATTCAGTAGATTTAATACCAAATGTCCCAATAGATCTTACCCAATTTACTCGACATATTTACACCTACTGAATAGGGAATAATAATTAAATATTAAAGTGCTTTTCCTTCTCTTTAAATCGCCTACTTTACAACTCCGTTCACACATCATCTTCATCTTCAAAATTCTAATTACTATCCATTCTTAAATGTTGTATATAATTTTTTATTAATGTATTACTCCTCTAATCTTAATTTTCTCCTCTTCTAAACTCAATATTCTGAGAAAAAATATAATTATTCAACATCTTTTCATCTTCTCTGCAGAAACGTAAAAAAATAAATATTTTGGAAAAAGAATTTTGAGTGAAAACTATGATGAAAAACTCAAATATAAATTCTAATACAAGAAAAAGTTTTATATAAATTCATAATTATTCGTCATTAAATCACAAAATGGAATTTAGGCCAAGAAAAGTACCTTTTTACGTCAATTCAATTTCTTTCCTTTTTAAAATTTTGAGAAACATAGAAACTCTAAATGTTTTATTCCTTTTTTTCTAACCTATTCTTTCTCTCTCTCTCACACACATTTTTTTCACTCGCATTTCTACGAACATCTAGGAAATTATTGCAATTAAAGAGCTTTCTCAAGTAGACTCTTAAAAAAATATTTTCTCTTCTCTTATCTCTCAAATTTAATTCACTCTCAATCTTACTATTAATTTTTTTTTGTTGCATTGTATTCTTCAAAAATTTTCTTGTTCCTATACCAAATTCATGTCAATTTCTTAGTATATTTTCTTATTCATTATTATATATTGTATTTCCACTCTTCTAGTAAATCCTATACACTCGCTCAATAGATTCATTGTTTTTTTTTTATTACTGTGGAAATATGTGTGGTTTAAATTTTGTAAAAGTTTCCTTCATCTTTTTCTTCATATTGTAGGTAAATTTGTTATTCTACTATTTCAATCTTGCATGGAAATTTATGTTTCTCTCTTTTAGAATTTCGCTATTAGGTTTCAAGTGTGGATATCTTTTGCTTTCTCGCATATATAGTTCATTATGTACACATATATTTTCATATTTTTTCTTCCTATCTGCATATTTCATATTATTTTCACGTACAACCTAATTTCCATATTGATTTACCTCCTTTCCCTGCCAGCTTACGTCTGAGACTGAACAGGTGTTTGGCAATACGGACACTCCCTCACGGTAGTCGCACAAGAGTCACACAGAACATAATGATTGCATGGTGCCAAAGTCACGGTACGATTGTTCTCTTCGCATTTCATACACTTTGTCGCTGTCTCCAAATACAGCACTTTCTCAACCTCCTCCAACTCATTCTTAAGTTTCGTCTGCAAAGAAGGCCAAATATAGGATTTATCCGATCATGATAGAAGCAGTGAAACTCACCTGAAGTGTCTTCAATTTCTGCAAGGACATTCCTCTCAAGGAGCTATTTGTGATCGTCGAACCATTTTGCGCGCTTAGTATATCCAATTTGTCTTTGAGTGCCTTCGCGTGACTCAAAGCCTCATCCCGCTGTTGTTCAGCTATTGCAGTCTGCTTAAAGGTCAGTGTCATAGAAAATTGATTTAATACAGTTTGTCTGTAACATAATCTTCACACAATTCACTCACCTTTCTATTGCTTTCATCAATCTCCATCTTCCACGCTTCATACGCCTTATTACTCTGCATCATCTGCTCCTCGTAGTTCATCAATTGGGCATTCTTGTTGGCCAATTCATCCTTCAAGCGCGATATTTCAGTCAGACCGGCCGCATTGAGGCACGGTGACATGGAGAACGCCTTATTGCTGTGCGACAGACCATTGTCGAATAGTGATCCATTATTGGTTAAATCCTCCCTCAGCTTCACTTCTGGACTAATGGATAGCGGATCGCCAAGACCCGGCGATATTAGGTGCGACTGGAAGAAGATTCCGTCGCCTGGACCGAAGGAATTGTTGATTTTCGGCGCTGAACCGCTGCCAATGTGACTGAATGGATCGCCAACGGAGAACAAATTAGAACGATTGGACGATGGACTGAAGTTACCCAGTGAACTTCCAGGAATGTTAACAGGCGCCGAAGCTCCTTGAAAAAGTCCTGCAAGACATCAATCAATCAATTGCTATTCACAAAAACAATTAAATTTATCAAATTACCAGAAATTGAATTCCCTATCGGCGAATTTGGAATATTAACAGGTGCTGATGAATTTTGTAAAAGTCCTACTGAAGCGATGCCAGCCGACAACGAGTTCTCAACAATATGACTGGACAGCAAATCGCGCTCCAGTGAATTACTGGGAGCTGGAAACATATTTATTGATTCTTTATCAATATTTTATTCGTTGTTCTTTCTAATCGAACATCCACTCACGCATTGATCCTAAGAATGTCAGACACATTCGCTTCCTCTGCTCCTTCTCCATTGGGCTCAAAGTCGGGTCATTCTCTATCGCTAATAACTGCAAATGAGACAAATAGGTAAGAAATGCATTATAAATTGCTTTATAACACAACAAATTGAATCAAATGAAGACAAGTTACGGAAAATTCCATTAAAATTTAATCGTGTAAATAAAGTCATGCCCTCACATGTGTTTTATAGCCTGAAGACCAACTTTTCTCCCCCCTCAAACACCCATCTCTCAATATCCTTAATTATTAAATTCTCGAGTGCAATACAACTTTATCATTTGAGTAAAATGGGAACACGCGGTAAAAGGTCGAGAAACTTCATTTTGTACTCACTTGCTTATTGATTTCTGGCGCCAAGTCAGAGAATGGAGTCATACTCGAATTGGTATTAGCAGAGTTGTTGTTTAAGTTGCTATTAAATGCATTCATCTTCTGATGCAATTGCGATCCCGGTGCCTTGTTGTGAGAACTATTTGATCCCAGGCTCGATGTGCTGGCAGACTCACTGCTCTCGCCACTGCCATTGTGCAGTGATGATATCTGTTATGAGATAGTCAAAGTTGTTAATTAAAAGTTTACCACGAGACAACTCTCACAGTCATACATTCATATCATTCTTGTCCTTTTTGCACTCTTGCGGCAGAGCACTGGAAATGATGTCGGCCAGCGCCAAATTGGACGTGGGACCATCCAAGTCCCTATTCTGCATGTCCTCAGTGAGGATGTACGCTGCAAAGACGTGGCAAAAGTGTGAGAGTCAAAAATCGATTTTTTACTCCTTTCACGGCAAAACACAATGAACTTCTAAAGGTCAACACTCACGTTCAACATGAGCGAATGCACAGAACACGCTCCTGGGACAATAGCCCGCCTGTTGGACATCATTGCATTTCGTGGACTTGTAGATCTCGGGATGGAATTGCTGCTCTGTGCGTGTATGACAGTACTGACAGTTATCGCTCGCCTCGCAATTGGCTGGCTCGCCCCACTCTTCACCGTGCTTCACATTGGGGCACGGCGTGGACCTGTACTTGTACTTCCTAGGGCTGCGCCTCTTGTCTTTGCTATTGTGATACTGCGGGCACGCGTAGCCCTGGCGGCAGAGACGCGGCGGTCTCTTGCACGGCTCTGTCTTATAGTTGGCCAGCACATAGTTTGTGTCTTGCCACTTGGGGTCCTCATTCATTAAATTCCTTTCCTTATCTAGTGCGTTTGGCCCATTGAGCCCATCGCCATTATTTTCGGCCGCCTGTAGGCTCTCCAGCTCCTTGATATCGTACACAGGAGGTCTCTGGTCGTGCACCCCATGCGCGAAGGCACAATGATGACCATTCTTTACACAATATCCCCTAGCATCTGTGTCGTGAACGCACATGCATGTCTTGTAATACCTAAGATGATATCTACGTTCTGTGTCACCGGCGGTTCTGTGTAGATACGGACAACTGCAGGAGGAAAAACAGCGAGAGAGCAAGAATGAGATTGCGTAAGTAATTGCAAAGCTAGCAAAAGCACAATTGAAGTTTATTCATCTCTCTCTCTCTCTCTCCCTCTCGATTGCTCAACATAATAAAGCGTGAATGGGAAGGACCGCAAAGTTAGCAGCTATAAAACATTCATGTCTTTAATCTCACTTACAATGATTCTAACCATAAAGAGATGTACACCAACCAAGAGCCATTATAATGAAAATATCTTGTTCTCTCTATATTCTTTCCTCTCCTGTTTAACCAACAACAAGAGAGAGAAACCCACCATTTACATACATTAGTACACAAGGAAGATTGCAAATTCAGCTATTAACATTTATGAGAAAATGCAGAGCCTAGAGAAAATTAATATTCTTCCTACTGTGAATTGCCTAAAATTCCTTTATCACGTAATTTTTGCGAAATTAATGAAAATATTTAATTATTTGGCCATTCTTCAATTTAAATATGAGTGTTTTATCGGCGTTTAGATCTGCACAGTTTAGTAAACAACTCATTATCGATATGCTATAAGAATCAGCTCCGATAATGAATGAACCAGTCAAAAATAAATTGTTTATAAATTCTCATTCACTGATAAACAGTCTAGATTTAACCAATAAGTCAATGTCAAATTTTTGAATTTTGATAAAACAGAACAGAAAAATTGTGAACGATTGTTCAAAATGCTCGCAACTCTTGAGAACATGATTTCTTATAAATTACACGTTAATATCCACTTCGAGTAGCATATTTACGAGCGTTTTTACCCACATGCAGACTTTTTTCCACATATCAATCACATCTTATCTTCCTATCCAATGACTAACTCGTGGAGTAGTCATACATTAAAGGCGATGTTTGTAACAAGACGTTAATGAACATACGACGGCTTTAAAGGAAGAAACTTATTGTGATTTTCCTCCCCTTCTCTCTTCACGCATACAATTTCCCGAACAGCCATTCGCGCTATTCAGCCAGGCAATCAATAAATATGTCACAATGTGGGTGAAGTTTTGGAGGAGTTTGGCGGAAATTCGTTCAGTGCCACACTTTGCCATTATACATTGTACGAATTTAGCGTGAGCAATTGAAAAATAAATATTATCGCCAACGTGTGGGGAAAAAAATTTCACAAAACTCATCGTTTATTGACTGTAATCAACAACACGCTTATCAACAGAATGTGTGTTATCTAAGAGTGCGAGCGTGAGGGAAAATTTTGCTCATTTTGGCGGAAAGAGAGATATTATGCACTTCCAAGAAAAGAATATATCGCAATATTGTGAAATTTCTCCCCATTAACAATAAGAAACTGTTATTGGAAAATCTTTTGCAAACATATTTTTTCCTTCTTCTCTTTGCTATTTTTAGAAATACAAAAGATGATATCAAAAGAGAAACTATCATTCCCACACTATTTTTTCTCTTCTCGCTTCTCTCTCTTTTATATTGTCTCTGCACACCATCTAAAATGTATTTGCCGCCATACTGCAAAATGAATAATGGAATAGACACAAAAATAAAGACTTCATTTAAATATGAATCATTAATTAATTCCAACACACAGGCGTATGTGTTGTACCTCAATAAATTGAACGGGCAATTTCTATTTTGTGATAATGTTCACTAGCAACAACAACAACAACATGTACAGAGAAGAATTTCATAACAAGCGCGATATTTTACAAATTCCATTTATATTCCTCCACAGAACATTTATTCATCAAATTTCTCCCCTATCTTTCGCTCTCTCTCTCTCTCTCTCTTTGCTCAAAATTGTTTATCTTCCATTACTTGCACTCACACTTTGGCAAGTTGAGAGTGAAAAGGCTTCGCGATCGCCAGTATAATCACTTTTCCGCAGAAATTAACATCACATATTTACTCTTTTTTTTCTCCCTGTTTAACTCACACTCTGTGCAAGAATTCTCATTACAATCCGCACCCAAAAAAACCCCCCCGAAAATATGCCAGCTTGTGTGCAAACACTCTGCAAAGCTCTGCACTGTGTCATAACATCCTTTTCACTTTCACTTTCGCCGCCCGAGATCACTGATCTCTCTCGCCAGTGGCTTTTAAAATCTCTGTGACCATGAACTACTCTTTCACAACGGAGCGCCTATTAAAGCGTATTATTGGTTAATCCCATTATTGAGCGCGCCTTTCGGAACTAATCTGCAAATGCTATTCGCTTCAGCTTTTTGCTCACTCTCTTCCAAAGAGCCTTCAAAGAATTTACACATTCAAATCGAAAGAAGAAAATAGAGTAAATTCGATTCTCCAAATTCACTGCGAAGGTGAATTAAATAGACTTATTTTGTCATACTGTGACACATTCTCAAATACATTTTCGGTCACATTGCGATGTAAGACTTTAAAATTCATAATAAATGTATTCATAGAATTACTTTAAACATGTTTTGAGTCGTTCCAAAAATAAAACAACATTCTTCTCATCGCACGCCTTTGGTCCACTTCCTCTTTCTCTCTTGGCTATTTATTACCTTATTTTTCTTTAAAGAAAAAAAAGGCACGTGCATGACTTTTTACACGATATCAAATTGTCTTATTACTTGGGAACAATACATTTTTGCTTCTTCATACGTAGATAAAACGAACACAACGACTCTGACCGAAGAATCTGGGTAGGATTGTGAGACATGGCAAAGACCAGATAAAAGTCAATTACATATTGTATACTCGTATTACTGTATGGAAATTTCAGTCATTAAACTGCCCAGCAAAAGTTTCGGAACTGATAAGCTGGCATTATATTTTTCCATATGTTTTGGCGTTTTTGCTCACATAATTAATTAAGACATTAATTCTAGTTGGACAATGCTTGGCAAATAAAGCAAAAACACATGATTACGTGATTAAAGACAACATGTCAACAAAATTCAGCGCAATTTTTATTCTTTTACTATCTTGTTGGACGCTCAGTGTTTAAACTTTTGCAAAAACCCAGTCAAACAATAACAATTGAACGGAAAATCAATTAAGAAACAAAGATCAAGATCAAAACTCTTGCAAAATGTCGTCAGTATGAAACTGTATATCTTGGAATGTCAAGATTTCGGATTGCAACTTAATCCTTGTTTACAATACAGTCATTCTAAAGCTATTTCAAGTGTTTGTTCATATTATTTTACAACTATTTGCTTTATAAGACAGAAAAAGTCATTTCTTCCGGACCTGTCGAGAATACCGCTAAATCTCTAATAACTGAATTACTTTTACTATTTCCACCAATCAACTTCAATTCAATTGGTCTCAATTGTGAAATGCTTCATGATTTTTCAAATAAAAATCCAACATGATGACTTTCTGGAATGTGATAAACACAACAAGGCATGTGGCATTCCTATAAGAGCGCCAACGCACCCAATTTGATTCCCTGTGGAAATTCCCATGCGTCCTCCCCTCAATTATTCTACATGCAGCGCATTGCAGCGAAAATAGAACATGTTTGTCTACCGCTGTCACCATATTTTAGGGGCTGCTTTGAGGGTAAACAAACACGTGCTGACTCTGTGCTGTGGGAATGCTGGCGGGTGCATAATTCTTCGGGGGAGTGTAGTAATGTGGCCCTTTGTCTCTCCACTCCGTTCGCTGGCGAGAGCGTGTGAGTGCGCGCCTTTCTCAACATCGCGCCCTCCCGTTCGCACGCGCGGCAGGTGAAGCCGAGGGCGTCCCTCTCTCGCAACAGGGCCCCGCTATGAGTCCCATTCCAGCTACTTTCACACAATTTATTATGTTGAAGTGGAAATGTTATGCTCGAGACGGTGTCTCTTTCTGGCGCCGCTCTCGCTCGCACTCCTTTGTGTTTGTGTTTTGGCTAAAGACGTCATAGCGTCGACGTCGCTACGCACTACTACGCAATAAACCCAATACTCCGATATGCTCTCCGGACGGGGCTCTGGCGGCCCAACGCGGGGCGCCCGGGAGTCAGGCAGGGGGGCGAGTGAATGGCAAGATTCTCGGGCAGGCAGGGGGCGCCAGCGACCGAGCCACAGTGCCAGCGAATGAGCAGGGGATTGAATTTTGGAAAAGATGTACTCACTCGTCACCATCTGGACAGATGCCCGTCGTCTCGTCATATTTTGTACAATAATTATCGGCGCTGTAATTGAATGTGCCGTCGCGCTTTCGTATAGGTCGGCGTCGACGCTGGTTCATGAAGTGCCAATTGAAGCATATGAATGGTCTGTGTTGATTGCATTTGTGTTGCAAGAAAGACTGACACTGCTCCACACGGAATTCCTTCAAGTAACTGCAAAGAGACACACGAAATTAACCACCAAACTCTCCACAGTCACTTGCACTCCACTTCCAACATCATTTCAATGCATGCAAGACACTTTTTTACTCACTTATAGTGATTTGGTTTTTCGGGCTGTGTTGTTGCCATTATTTTTTCAGCCATTTTTGTATTTGGTGTCTTTTGCGTCGTGGGACATCGCTCTGACTGCCGTGGGACACCCGTGCGGTTGGCGGCAATGCCCCGTGGGACATCGCATCGAAGCAACTTTCAACGTGCGTTCGCCTGATCGATTTCTCATCGATTTCCCACTGTTTTGCATCCGCGTGCAGAGAAAATCCTCAATATTTCCCAGAATTCATACTTTTTCTTTCATTTCTACACTTGATTGAGTTTAACATGAGTGCCGATGAAAAATCTACTCAATGGATTAGTGATTTGAACGGTGACAGCGCAGTTTCGGTCAAAACTGTTCAAGTGAGGTTATGTGGTTTGTTTATCGAGGGCTGTTTTTTAATGCCGCCTTTTATTTCCAACCAGGAAATCTACTGTGAGGCTCGCAAGAAGAAGTCAGATATCTACAGCGACTCTCTGAGAGATGCCCTTGTTTCTGTGATAAAAAATCATGCAATACTTCCTAAATTTACTCTACAAATTACTTGTAGCGCCTTCTTTCAACTCCTGACCACTTCCGGAAAGGATGACTTCTCTCTGGATGGATTCAATTTTCAAGATACCCGCTTAGCAGTCAATCTTATAGACGGAATGCTGTCTACGGACTACAGGAAGGCCGTAGATACGGAGAAAATAGCGAAGAAAGTACTTGAGGTTGTGAATATTTGTTCTAAGGATCAATCAATCTTCATTCTCTGGGCCCTGAAAAACTTGCTGAACTTCTGCAAGTACTTTCCAGACTTTAAGTATGACTTTGATGTACTCTTGATGACAGTCTGGATGAACTTGACATCAAATATTGCTGGAGTGAGAGAACAAACATTATCTTTGATGGAATTCATCACCAAGAAATGTCCGGAACGGAGTAAATACATCTTTCAGGAGATTCTAAATCGATGGTCCTGGACAAATCCTCACAAGTATTACCTGTTGGGCGTGATAGCAGCCAATGTGAACACTATATTTCATGACTTTGAGGAAAAAGAGAAACATTTGTTCTTGGAAGGACTCTCAAGTTCACTGAGACATCGCAATCTTCTCTCTCCTGGACAGTATCTCTTCAAAAGTCTGGTGAAACACAAACAAGTGAATATCTCTGAGATGATGAGGAATATTCTTCTCGAAAGATCTCCTTTGGAAGCGGATAATTTCATTAATCAGTGGCTGAGTTCATACAAAGATTTAGACTGTCTCTTGGACGATCTGAGTTTGGAGTATGAAGAGATGGACACTTGCCGATACATCCTCGTTCGAAGAGCATTCAATGAACAGCTGGCATCTCAAAATATCCAACTAGATCAGGATCTCATGGAAAAAGTAGACTTGAGTAGTCTGGAATCGATTCTGCGACAGCATTTGTACGAAATTCTCATCCATCGTCTCACGAAAGGCATCGACATGACGGTGAATCTGCAATTCTTGGAGCGCTTTCTCACTTTTCACATCGCTGACAACAATACTGGACTCAGGAACTATATCTTTAAGAGACTGTCAGGCATTCTGGTGCAGTTGGCGAGGAAGGAACGCAGAGAATCTCCGGAGACAATCAAATTTTTCATCTTTCTGAAGCGAGAAGTCGTAGATTGTGGATTAAAGAGTGATCCAGAGGAATATCAGCCAATCATTTTTGCCCTAAGAATGATGGATTTGCTGATGAGATTCCTGTCCGGAAGATATAGCTTGACAAAGAATCACAGCGGCGAGGGAAATGAGCGAATCAGAGAAACTCTGGAGAGAAGCAATGTTTTCAAGTTCTCATCTGATGAGGATTTCAAGAGAATTCTTCCTCAGCTGAGGAGCAATTTTGATGATGTCCAGGAACTGACTTGTCAGATAATCTGTGAGTTTTTCCAAGGAGAAGAAGTGAAAGTCGACGTCCAGAGACTCTTCAGAGAGGCTCTTTTGTCTGAAAACAGCATAGAATCTGCGAGTTCTTGTCATTTGTATGCGAGAATTCTTTCAGAAACTAGCGAAGAGGTCCTGACTGATCATGTAGATTCTCTGAAAGAGAGTTTTAAGGTCTTCCAGGAAGATCCCTTTGCGTCAGTGCAATCTGGTCAACATATTTTCCACAAAATTGCTTCTTTGGTGGAAATTGTGAAGTGTTCGCGGTCAACGAAAGATCATCCAATGCAGATTCTGATGAATCTCACTTTGGAAATCACAGAGAAAATTCTAAACTTCCTGAATCACACTGGAGAGTTCGAGGAAGCGCCGAGCTTTGAAGTGATGGAGGAAAGTCTGCAAGTTCTCATTGACAGATCTCGCTTGGAAGCCACTCAACCTCATGCAGAGGCCAGGAAACTTCTGCTCCTCTCTCTCTGGATGACTCTCAAGGCCTGTGGAGAGCTGGCAACAGCTTCTGCCCAGAATCAGCAGGAACTCGCGATTGCTATGAAAGTCAACACCAGCATTCTGCAACGGTGTCGCCACAAAGGCGCCATTGAGGCGGCGGGATTGTCTTTGGGCAGCCTTGTTCGCAGAATTGATCCAGAGAATCCCATCTTAACCGCCTCACTTGAGAGTCTCTTCGAAGAGAGAAAGAAACTCAGCACAACTCGTCGTGCAGCCGGATACTCAATCATGTTTCTCAATCTTCTCCGGAATGATCGTTCTGAGGACAAGAAGCTTCTTCAGCGCTCAATGAAGATCATTTTTGCCAGTCTGCAGAGGAAGAATTCGATGATCGCGGAGAATTGCGACAACATGGAGGCTGTGATGCTGCACTATCTCTGTATTCTGGTCAAAGACAGCTCCTTGTTTGAGAGTATGATTCCATTCATACCGCGGATCCTCTCGATAGCCTTCCAGAAGATCGACAGTGACGAGTGGACGGTAAGAAATGGCGCTCTGCAGCTCTGCGGTGCTCTCATTCCCAAGATTGTGGGCCAGAAGACGCACTTCCAGGAAGAGGAAGAGTGGCAACCGGTGAAACTGTCTCTGGACGATCTCAGGACTCGCTTCTCAGACATCAGCGACTTCCTTCTGGCTACTTTGATTGACTTCAATCGTCACTCAACGACGAAACTCATCACAATTCTTGAACTCCTCTCTCGAATTGAGTTCTGGTGGACAGAAATTCAGTCTGAAGACAATGTGACAGCATTCAGGAAAACGCTGTGGACTCTTCTGAGCCATCCGTGCCATAAGATTCGCCTTCTCGCTGCGAAGTGCTTCTCTGGCTGTCATGAATTCCATCAAATCCCAAGAATTGTGCTCGGAATAGTTGAAATTCTGCCTGAAATCTGCGATTTGAATGCTTTCCATGGGCTCATCCTGGCTTGTGACGCCCTCACGAGGAAGTACAAAGCCGATAGCTTTGCCATGCCCAGGCACAAACCTCAAGACTTCCTTCTCAATCTCCATGAAGCAATCGACAGGCGATGGATTGATTTTCCGGACAGGAAAATCTCCTCTTTCACCAGAATATACTTGAAAAAATACTTAATTTATGTTGAAAATGATTTGGCAATTAAAATACAAGCTGATCTTGGATCTTAAACACGTGTATTTTACAAAATCTACCCCCAAATCCATTCTTAAATAAAATATAAAAAAATTATAACAATTAACAAAGAATTTGTGAGCGCACCAGTCGCCGAAAGGTCTAAATCTAAATAAACATGTTTCATAATTATGCATACATTGAATACAGGTTTTTTGGAATCTCTTATAAGGGAGAGCGGAGCAGTTTGGACATCAAACCTGTGAAACTACTTTCTGTTATGCTAATTTATTTTATTCACTGCAGACTAATAAAAATGTCTAAAATATTTTCCAACACTTTTATACAAAAAAATTACTTTATTTCTTTAAGTTTCGACAATGCGACTAAAAATATAGTTTTTATCAATTGATGTCGCAATAAAAGAAATATGTAATGACATAAAACAGATCTAGAAAACATAGTTTAAAGCTCACATATTTACATTGTGCTAAAGCTAAGATTTCGTCCGTGATGTCTTTAATATTGCAATTGCCCATTTAGAGCCTAACTTTCATACAGATTAGTTTTGTTACTTGAAACTACTTAAAATGATTTGCAATTACAAACAAAATCATCTAGACAAAATGTTTACCTAAACAAGTTATTTAATCATACAGCTTAGTTCAAATACGAAAAATATACAATCGAATTCTCGAAGTTTTTAGGGTAATTTTATCGAATTTGCTCCGCAATAAGTCTGTGTGAATCGTGTAATATTCACAAGAAGCGCAAGAACCAAATGAAATTCTCAAAATTACATCGTAAATTGCCCACTTTTCCCCTATATTTGGTTTCCATCTCAAAATCACAAGTGAGATTCTGAGATAAGAATTTCGCAAAACTGCTGAGAAATGTAATCGCACTTTAGTTTTTCAAGTGATAAGCTTACATAACTGAACAACTCTTGAAAAATCACAAGGCAACCTCGCAATGAATTGAATGTGATAAACAACTCAATTGGCATTCAATTTCCCTCAATATTTCACCCTTCCGACCAGTGCTCACTCACCCGACGCTGCCCAAGATTACATTTCCATGGAAGAATTCTGTGTGCTGCCCGGCGCCACGTTGGGGATGATGTTCCGCAGCGTCCTGGACACAACGTCGCGCAGGAGATGCGGTTTGCAGTGCTCCTCGAGCCACGGAATCACGCCCGTCGTCAGCTCTGTGAAGTCATTCATGGAGATTGTGTCGAAGGTCTGGAACATCTCGTCCATGATGGCCTGGAACTGCAAGTGAAGCGAACTGTTAGTGTCCGGAAGGGCCAGGAAAGCAAGAGATTCTCACCACTTGGAATTTGATCTCGTCACTGAGGCGCGCTTCTGTGCGTCCTGGCGAAGCTTGCTGATTCTGCAGCATCTGCTCGTATCCACTCTGAATGATGCGCAGCCCAATGACGTCCTTCTGCAGCGCCACGCGCTCCTCCTCCTGCTTCTTCTTCTTCTGGTGCAGGTAACTAATGTAGTCGATGGACTTCTGCAGCACAGCCGCCTTGCTCAGCTTGTAACCAGACGCATCGTTCTGCTGCTGGCACGTGGGCACGAGCTCCTGCAGTGTGTCGTAGCCCTTCTTAATGGCATCCCGGCGCTTCTGCTCCGCCTGCGTGTGCGCCTCCCGGCGCCTCTCCTTGTAGCTCAGTGAGCTGTTGCTCCTGTTTGTATCACTGTCATCATCGTCATCTTCAATGAGAAGGATTTGCCCTCTAAATGTTATGCCCAATCCCACGATCGCCCTCCCGGACCCACTCCCGGACACTTGCCAGTGTTGTGAGCCGATGAGTTTGGCGTGTGGATACTCCCGGAACTGCTGCACCGCGAGTGATGTTGCAGTTGGAAGTGCTTCTCGCTGGGACTTGAGGGCTCCGCCTTCATGTCCACGAGGTCACTCTTGCTCCCCTCGGCCATTGTGCGCGATTCTCACTTACGAAACGGCTTCAGTTGTGATTTTCCACGCGGAAAACCAATCTTTTCTTGTGCAGAAAAATCCCAAAAATCCAATGGCGTTCCACGAAACTGACATCAATCGAGGGTTGCCAGATGTGACGATGTTTCATATTGTGTCCACGTGATGTTTCACAATAAATCACTGGCGAGGATGAGAAACATTCGATCAAAATCCACTGAAAGATAAATTCAATTCAATTAATACACCGAAGAATGCTACATCAAGAGCTCCCCTTCTATAAAAATACCCTGATTAATGTTGTCATTTAGGAAAAAGCGGAAAAATGCTGTAAAGCAATTTTGGGACAAACCAGATTCAAATTTTCTAACCGATTTTAGATAAACAATCATGGATTTCTCAATTTCATATCTTTATTGAGAAATAAGCTAACAACAAACTATCACATATGGATCAGACTATTATATCGTGTACAACATTGATAACATTTACTAATTAGTTCGTCAACAATTATGGTGAGTTTCCTTATTTTCTGACCTTCCTGCAATTCTTGAATTGGCAACAACAACATCCATGGATTCGTGTATTTTCTCAAAAGAATCCTTCCAAAAATACCTCAATGTTCTATTCTACCTAATCGGAAGGAAGTAACTTGGCAAAGTGCCTTGAATATTCTGTGGGTCGGATTAAAATGGAACTTTGGCAACAATATATATTAAGTGTGTCTTAATGGTGTGAGAACAGGTTTGATTCTGAACAATCTGTAAATTACTAGAAAACTTAAAACACTTTTATAAAACTGTAACACTTACTATTCCCTACACAATTAACAATAACAAGTTGTATTATGGTTATAAATTTGGCCACGTATTAATTAACATTGATAAATTCTTACGATTAACATCAAACAGTGTTCTACCTTCTCGAAAAATTCCTTTCATTTTCAGATTAGTTGGGATTTGAGATGTTTAGGCGGAAGTTTAACAATTGATGTTAGACCGTGAATAATCTAGACTGATTTTCAATTCCATGATGGTCTCGTGAAGCATTTCTTAGTGGGTTTCTCCATGTTTTCGTCACCTAACATCCTCAAATCCCAGATTTTCTGGCTCCATTCTTTCTACAAATTTATCTATATTCCTAAATCTAAATCTCAAATGTTAACATATCTTCCCTTTAAATCAGTGTGTCCTCATCCTGAGCCTCAAAGAGCATCAACAGCGAGTGCTGAGACGACGACCTTCCGATGGGCGGCGCGCTGGCCAGAGAACCGTCCGGCGACAGGAATCCCGTCTGCAGGCTGCAATTGTCCCTGTAGCCGGAAGTGGACGAGGTCTGAGACACGGAATCCCAGGACAAATCTGCCACTGGCTTCGGTGGCGGCAACTCAACGGGCTCCGGAGCAAGGCTAACCGTGTCTCCAGCCTGATTCTGACGACCTCGCTTGATCCTGAAAGTCTTGCGGCTCTGGGCCTTCGATCGCTGCAGGCGGTGACGCTGAATTTCGCCAGAGCTATCCTCAGCTGGACTGCCAGGCGACAGAGGGGTTGTTGAGGTCTCTCCTGAGGAGTGTCTGAACTCCACGGAGGACACAAAGCGCAACCGCGGCACTTGCTGTGCCTTCATGGATTGCTGCAGCGACATGGAGTGCGTCAAGTGCGGAACGGAGCTCGTGGAGCCGGCGATCACCGTCGAAGATCCTCCGGCTGTGGCCGCCAGACTGGGAGTCGGAGTGGTGCCCTCGCCACTGTGACTGTCGCTGACGCCGGGCTCGCGATTTGTAGTGGAGCTGCTCGAGAGGGACTCCCTGGGCGGATGAAGGGTGTGCTGCGACAGGGAGTCACTGGGAGTGATTACTCTCTCGTGGTGAGTGGCCATCTGAGAGGCGATGTGCGGTCCAGCGCCAGTGAGAAGTGAGATCAAGGATGGACGTTGTGCGTGTTTGGGAACCTCAGCCACAGGCGGAAGAGTTGAGGGCACCACATCTCGACGACTGGGTTCCGGAATGTCCCGATCTGAAAGAAATACCAACATTAAAGATCCGGCGAAATCAAATGCATGGAATGCCAATTGTGACCAGACATGCAAGTAAATTTAATCACACTGGAATTCTTGCGTTCGAAGAACTCCAGCTAAACTAGCATAAAAAAAATCATCTTGAAGCTCTTGAAGCGAAAGTCTGTCCACTTCTACTGAAAGCTTAAAGACATTAAAATTGATTCCAACCCTGTGCGGTTTTCTCACCACTTCCGTAGCGGCGCTCCTCCAGTTCTTCCCTCAGATCTTTCAACTCCCTCGCCAGTTCCAGCAGCACAGCTCCACGAGACTTTATGCCGCCTGGCGGAAGCATTCCTCGCATCCTCTCTCGAATGAGGAACTGCATGTGGCGCTCGTGATCACCGATCGGCGGTTGGGAGATTTTGTGGAGTATGAAGGGCATCAAGACGATGTACAGCGGAGTGCGGTGGTTAACGACGAACTCCAGGAAACTCCAGAGTTCCGGGGCAGCCTCGTTTCGCCTGCCCAGATCTCTCATCACGCGTACAATGCGAGGCCATTCGTTGGCGAGGCGTTGCTCGAAGCAAATGCAGAGGATGCGAAGTGCCAGGAAGGCGGCTTGATACAGAGATCCTGAGATCCTGGCGGGCCGTTTGGCTTCGCGACTTCCAGTGAAAGTGAGAGATCCAGCTCTGAGGTCTCCAACAACTCTGTTGCCCTGAGTAGTGGCCTGAGCAGTTCTTCCAGCTGGTGGACTCATTGCGTTAAGGATGGCCGTGACCAGGAAAGAGATATCGTGCTGTTTCAACTCCCCGAGATCTCTGCCGCTGCAAGCCTTCAGACACAGCGGCATTATCAGATGGATGAGATGTCCTTCAGCCTTCTCCTGCGTCGGAAACTCTGCCGATCCGCCACAGATGTGCTCCAGCGTGAAACAGTCAACTGGACTCACGACTTGCAGCGTGATGAGACGCACGGCGGTGGAGCTGAAGAATGGTGGTGGGTTCTGAGACATTACAGCTGCTCCTGCACTTGAGACTCCCTCGGGAGACTGACCGGGCTCATGGACAATGAGATTCTGAATGGTATTCAAGAGAACCTTCACGTGCTGCCAGTGAAGGACATAAGGATATCGTTGGACTGTTTCGTGGATTCCCTTTAGCAGTCCCGATGCAGCTTCCCAGTCGGTATTGCGACGAATTGATGGCTTCTTCGAGATCTTCATGAACACCTTATCAAGACGCCGCAGAATCGTCACCAGAGCTGGACGCATGGCATCGTCTGCCCATTCGGCTCTGGGCAGAACGCACTGCATGTACCTTTGCAGACCTCGGCAGGCCATGGATTCTGGGTCGTAAGGCGACACTTTGAGTAAAGAGTGCGCAATATCCGCCAATCGAACGTGACACTTCACATCCAACAACTCCACTGGTTTAGAGTCTCCGCCCTGCTTCTTCGAGAGCTCCTGCAGACGAGTCGTGGCTCGGCTGATGAACTCCCCAACAACTGACAGAAGAACATCTCTCGGCCGGCGATATTCAGCCCGAACGAGCTCAGAGTCCTCCGCAGTGTCCATAATCTTCATCCTGCCCACATCACTGACGTACTTGGAGTGCGACTCATCTTCAAAGTCCAGACCAGGAGAGCACGGAGGTCCGCGACTGCAGTTCCTCTGGCTGGAGCCCTTATGCTCAGGACTGTTGCGAAAAGGACCGTTGTAACTCCTGCAAAGAGAGACAATTTAATATGGAAATATACCTCAAAATATGATTTACACTTGTCGTACTTGGACAATCCCTCGCAATTGTGCACCATGGTTCGAATGGCAATGGCTAATTGTAGAATGATATCTCTCTCGGACTTTCCCTCAAGGGGAACATAGCTGGGTGATTGAATTTGTTGCATGTAGCACGGCAGAATGGCCTCCAGGATGATCTGCGAAAAAATAAATAAATTTACACTTGAAAAAAAATGCAAAAAAGGTTCCTTCGAGCCGGATTTGAACCAGCGACCTATGGATTTCCATATATGCTTTTTTAGCCATTCTACAGTCCACCGCTCTGCCAACTGAGCTATCGAAGGCACACTCCCCATGGTACTCACTAGCATCTGATAACCTCGAGTGCTCTCGGCTGAGTAAGACACCACCATTACGCACAAAGTTATGCAATCCAGCACCGTCACCATTTCATCCTCGTCGTGATAGCAGAAATCAATCGCCTTCAGTGGCTTCGGCTCCTTCACCAGCTCAGCGATGTTCAGCGGATCTGGCGAGGGAGTCTCCAGACTCAGCAGCAAATTGAAAAGACAACTCGACTGCACTTTGTGCGCCTCTCCATACATTCCGTCCTCATCCGTATCCAGAATCGCCGAAACCGATCCAAACATCTGCAGGATGAAAGGCTTCCGATTGAGGAGGTAAAACTGCTTCACGGCATACTCAATGGTCGTGGTGACCAGCTTGTTTGTCTGGTGCAGTGAATAGACTTGCAGAAGGGTGGGCATGATCATAAAATACCCATTTGTGGAGAAGATGTTCTTGAAATTGAAGGCTGCATTGATGAATGTGGCTGTGACATAGCGCATGATGCATGAATCCTCAGAGTGGAGAATTGCCGCTCCAGATAAAACGTTGAGGAAGAGCTGAATGTCGGCTGAGTAGGCAAAATTCCCTGCCATAGCCTCGAACATCCGTGCAATTAGACGAACCCACATAAATTTGTGCAACACATCCAGACCAAGAAGCTCCTGAAAGGAACACATTTGGGTTATATTGTGTTACTATGCTTTTTTCTTTCACTTACTTTCCCCAGTTCTCCGCCTTGGTGCAAATCCAGATCAACCTCCAGAGCCTTTCGAGGGAAGGAGGGCAGTTTCATGAGCTCCTCGTGCAGGAAAACAACTCGCTGCACAACCATATCCACATTTTTAAGAATCGCCCAAGTTAAGTGAACTTTTCCAATCTCCACAAATTTCCTCATAAGTTCCTGCTTCTGTAGAGCATAAAATGCCTCTTCGGGCTTCATTTCAACAAGCCTCAGTTGTGGATATTGAGATCTCTTGAAGAAATACAAATCGCGAACATACCAATTTGGATTAAGTATTTGATCTGAAAGTAAAATTAAATTAAATTTAATGCATTTCACACGTTAAAACAAAGTATAAACTCACGTGATCTGTAATCAATTAGGAAATGGTAAGAATGATTTTTCTCCTCGATGCCAAAGAAGTCCAAAGATTCGCGAAGAAGTTGACAAAATTGTGTATCTTCCTGAACGGGAAACTGTGAGGGAATTCCTCCTTCATCCCTGTCTTCAGGTCCGTGGACGACAATCTTCTTGGCTGATGGAACATTGGCCGTGAGTAAAATTGATGCATCGCACTGTTCCTTTCTCAGAATTTGCTTCAAATCCTTAAACATAATCCCATGAACGCTGTGAACGACCATCCAGAGAATGGAGAGCGCAGAGCCGACCAGCTGTAAATCAAATTGGGGTGGCATTAGTATTGACTCGCGAGACGGAAGCAGTGTCCACCCACCTGTTGACTGTACTCGTGGGACGAGCGCACGTAGAACATGACATAGCCGATGATGTAGTTATAGAGCGCAAAGGCCGCTTGTTGGGGAAGTCGCGGAACAAATCGAATCAGATGCCGTAGAAGTTTGAACATCTGATCCTGGCGGTCACGAGTGAGTCTCTCAAGGACGTAGCGAAGAAAGAGAGCGGAATCTTCCACCAAACAAACCCAAATCACCTGTTGAATGAACACACATATAAATTGCAACTTATTCACTTGTTGCTCAATCAATCTCTTACTTGATAGGCAATTTCGTACACGGCACATCCATCAGAGCTCACGGCTGCATCATCGAGACAGTCCACAATTTGCATAACGGACGAGCAAAGGACTGAGGGAAAGAGCGAATGAGCTGCATGAAGATGAGGAGCTGCTCGACCCACATCGCCTTCCTCCTCTTCCATGTGATCCTCTCCTGGTCCATGATCCAATCCCGGCTCATGGGCGGCTTGCTGAGTGATGGGAATTGTGGTCATCATGAAGCTTTGCCTCTCTGCCCTCTGCTTATCCTCCTGCTGTTGCAGAGCATATCTAATTGCCTCCGTTTGCTGCTTCTTACGAGTCTTTGTGGCTGTGACAAGAGACCTGTGACGCTCCTGATTGAGAGTCACTTCCATGTCCTTGGTTTGCTGTCGAGGACTCCACGGAGGATCCACGACAGGCAGACTCTCAATCCCTATCTTGGGCGATGGCAGAGTGAATTCTATTCCTGGCGGAGGAACTTTGAAGGACATATGAGCGCCCTCCTCCATTCTGGGCCACACTTGGAAGCGGCATTTCCACAACACCTGATATCGCAGGATAGCCCCAATTCTGATGTCAGGATCTTTGTTCTTCAGTGCCTTTTGCATGATGTCCGAGACAAAGTTTGGCGCCTTCACGGCTCCCAGAATGAAGAAAGCCGCAGAAGTAGCTGCAGTCTCTTGGTTGGGCTCCAGCAGAAGCTCCCAAGCTGCCGGAATGGCCTCGATGAATTGCTCCTCAGTCAGGATGGCGGCGCCTTTGATAAGAGTAGCGATTGGAATGTGGAACATCTCGCGAATGTGGTTCTTCAGATACTTCAGCATCAGTGAAGTCTCTCGACGCTTAGCTGTCTCTTCGGGCTTTGGAGTGGCTTGAGCAGCGGCTGCTTCAATGTCTTCATGGAGAATTCTGCAAGTAACATTCAAATGCGAACAAGAAAAAAAGGATTAAATAAATTATTATCCCTACTTGTCCTTCCTGGGAATGCTGTCTTTGCGTCGCGATGGTGAAGTTTGGGAAGAGCTCAAGTCTGAAACCTTTCTGCCATGGCGACGCTCTCTGCGGCCACCCAAACGCCCACCATCAGACAATCCGCCCTCCATTCCGAGCACCAGACCAAATTCCTCGCCATAGATCTGCAAGAGATTAAAAAAAATTACTATGCAACAGTTAAACAATGAGTAAAAAAAAGGCAAAAATCATGCCTCCTCGTCGCATCCACATATTCTGCGAAGTTGACCAGGCGCACCTCTGTTGCCTCCTGTGAGGATTGAACTCACGACCCCTGGTTTACGAGACCAGTGCTCTCCCACTGAGCTAAAGAGGCGATGGTGTCGGGGAAGACCGAACCGCTTCTCCGGATTTCCCCTCCAGGCCTCATACGCCTCACACTCTCTCACCACGCACACACACACACACACACACACTCACCTTCCGCACGGCCTTCACGAGCCGCGATGCCGCTCGCATGTGGCGACGATAACAGAATGGGTGGCAGAAACTCTGGTGCGAGCAATAAAAGTTGAATGAGTTCACCAATTCCAGGGCTCCCTTCATCCAGGGCATCGTTTTGCCGGTCTCGTCAGTGTCATTTGAGTCACTGGGCGATTCTGGAGGCTGATCATCGCTCAGAATGCCCGGAGACTCCTCTCCGCCGCTCGCAACTCCCTGCTCGGAAGTGTCACTCCGATCGGAGAGGGAAGACACCTTCCGTCGGGACTGAATAGAGTCGGTTCTCTTGACTGGATCTGCAAAAAACTCACATTTTGAGTCTATTCATGAGATTCAGCAAAGATTTACTCACAATCAGATTCAATATCTTTGCCATCTTTCGTGCCGCGCCTCAATTTGAGGGAGCGTCTCTTGAATGATCCTCCAGTCGGCGCTCCGGCGGTTCCGCGGCGCAAGAGGAAGGGCCTGACAGCAGCCACTGGTCTTCGCTGGGGTTGAATGGTGGTCTCCTCACCCTGAAGAGTCACTGTTGTATTGCTGCTGCCCTCGGACTCATTGTCTGGCTCGTGGAGTACAAATGAGATCTTCCTCTCAGTCTGTCCACCATCGCCACCCGCAATTGACTGGAGACTCTGGGCAGAGGTTTGGCTGTGACCCATGGAGCTGAGCGCCATGGACCAGCGCCGATTGGCCTCTCTGGGAAGAACAGATTGACTTCACATCAACGGATAGCACACAGTTGTTATAGAAATATTCGATTACCTGTAAACTTTCTCCCACGGAGCGGGCTTTTCCTTTGTGGACAGCTTCGAGGTCTTCGGCAGTGTTTGATAAGTCTCCCGCAGGAAGGCCGTGATTTCATTCAGCAACACGCAAGCGACCAACTTTAGAGCCGGAGGACAATCGTTGCCATGAGGATTGACGCATGCTTCATCCAGGAAGTCCTCTTCCTCATCCTGCAACAGAAGCTGACGTTGTTTCTCCGAGTCGCACATGGACGTCGTCACTTGATCGAAGGTCAGCTTCTCGGTCTTCAGCATCTCTTCAAGACGGGCGCCCAAGACTTCTGCCCACTGGAAAATGCAAAAGAGTCGTGAAAAAACAGACGGAAATCCTCATAATCTGTCTCACCTGGTAGAACATCTTCCCAGCTGCCCGCTGAAGCACATGAATCCTCCTCGTGCTGGACGCCAGGGCAGTTCGACTGCCAAGCGCCGGCCCTGAAGGTCGAAATGGCGTGACATTCTGTTTCATCCAGCTCGGCCACTGTCCGCGGTTGCACAGGTGGACGAAGTGGGCGCATTCCAGCAGGAAGGCAGCCCGAGTGACCAGCGGAGCTTGAGGCTGCAAAAAAAAGCGCGGGAAAAAAAATTTCGCGTAAGAAAAAAGCGCCCTAAACGCTGCCTCCTGTGAGGATCGAACTCACGACCCCTGGTTTACAAGACCAGTGCTCTGGCCACTGAGCTAAAGAGGCATGCAATGCTTTTCGTCGTGCTTCATGAAGAGGCACAGTTCTTCCAAACTCATTTCAACTCTTATTATTAAGACTTTCTCTATGTAACTGATAAAATTATATGGGAAAAATGTGTAGAAGATTGTTATTACACATAATCACGTCATTATCAGTGATTTATGTGAAAATGAGGGGAAATATTTTACACTTCATTCAAATTCCATACATTCAGGCGAATTTTGGGCTGAATATAACAGTGGAAATTATGGGTGTTATTCTTATTACCAGATATGTGTGTAAAATAAAACACACACAACACTTCCATATGTCTTATAGAACATTAATAATTTTTTTTTATGTGAAGAATGTGATTTTACATGGTGTATGCTTATGTAAATTAATTACTTTTATGATAAATATGGCCAAAGTCAGTGAAACATGACAATTTTGGGAATATCTTACCAAATCAAGAACAGCGGCCACAAGCTGTGCATCTGGGACGGATCCTGGTGCGCACGTTTCCAGAAGGAATGAGAACCTGCACATCCCTTCTCGCACGGGAAAGATTGGCACAAGTCGTCTCTCCTTCAAAACCACAACTTCGGACTCTCGCGGACCCTCTCCAAACTCATAAGAGCTGCGTCGGCTCAGATCTGAAAAGAGTATGAAGTTTTCAAATATCGTCACACAAGTTAATAGTATAGAAAACTCACAACTTCCTGTTACTTCCTCAGTTCCTCCAATCTTCTTCTTGCCCTTCCCAATGCCGAAGCGGCCAAGGCGTCTCTCCACCCTTCGTCTGGCTCGCTGCAGAGATCTTCCCAGCCCATCACCAGATCTCCTCGATTTGAGATTAAAAGAGCCCTGGCGAGCAAAAGAGGCTGCCAAATCTGGGGCAATAGCTCCAGTTTCCAGATCAATCGAGCAACGATCTTTGGAGCCTCGGAACCATCTCACAATTCCACCAAGTTTCCCCCCGGAATTCCGCTCGGAGCTCGAAGTGGAATCAGAGAGAAGGGCTCTTTCGCTATGGCGTGGCGTCAGCGTGGGTCGAACACTTGCAGTTTTCCGTCGCAGATTACTCAGTGGGCTTTGGCTGTGCCGGAAGGGTTCCTCGAAAGTTTCTGATGTTTCCAAGAGGCTCTGAAAATTCTGCAAGGGAAGCAAATATTGAAGAACTGCTTGTGTTCTATGCCATGTTGAACGTACCGCGCAAGTTGAGGAGGTGCTGCGTTTCTTGAAAAGAAGCTTCCTCTGAGCCCGTTCGTCCTGCTGGAAGGATGAGGTGTCTGTGTAGGGAATGTGGCGAATGACGCGAGTTGTTTGGTAGATTGGTCCTTTCTTGTGCGGTCGCGGTGTGACAGCCATGATTCCGCTGAGAGCCACACGACGAAAGGGCCCTCCGTGGGCGCCCTTGACATACGTGACGAGTTGTCTGACATCACAGTAGAGAGCCATGTTCTCTTGGCTCTTCAGCTCCTTGAAGGACTCCACGAAGCGCGTGACGAGGGCTTTGAAGACGGCCGCGATGACCTGACTCTCGGCTCCGCCACTCAATCCACCCCCGAAATTGGTAGCGTAGCCCCCCTGACCGCCTGATAGACCGCCAATGTCAGGAGTCATTGTTTTAAATGCAGGTGTTCTTTTATGGTCTGAATATGATAGATGAGAAACATCAACGCGCATGCAACTACTCACAAGCTGGATGCTTAAGTAATTCAAATTATTGCTTAATCTCAATTCATGTCTCTCAGTCTTTTGATTATCATCAATTGGAACATGACTGAAAATGCATAAACATTATTTGTATGAAAGAAATTTTGAATATGCCGATTATAATTGTAAATCAATAATTTGTATTCTTCACGTTCGTACATCATATATCACGTTCAAAAAATTTTACTTTTACAACTTCTCTGGGATAGGAGTGTTCTTACAAGATGTTTGAAGCGAAATTCAAAATGAAATCTACACGAGGATGCCTATGAAGCACAAGGACGATGCACAATTTGGTTCATTTCGTATGTCATATGATTTAGCTTTCTGCGGAGCAAGAAGCGCATTGAAAAAGGTCAATAGAGGTATAAGATAAAATTAATAATATAAAAGAATTACAATATACTGGTCCATGTAAGAATTACAGAATAACCACAAATTTCAAGATTTGCCATGAGTTGAAATGGAGGAAGTTCTTTGCACAAGAGTGAGATTAGTCGATTCATGGGACACAAGAGCGAGATAGAGAAGATGAACTTACTCAGTGGCGACAGGAGGGAACTGGGATCAACACAGAATCCCACGAAGGCGTGGAAGAACTCAATGAGTTCGTGCAATTTTGTTGTCCTAACCATGTTCCGAAGGTAATTCCGCGACTGAGCCGGAACTTGTCGCAACATTCGGGACAAAATGGTGTGACACTGCGTGCGAAGGAATTCCGCTGGTGGTCCTCGGATTCCTTCATTGCAGCCATGAGGACAGCCCAGATGGAGAAGAGCTCTTTTCAGGATCCCCATTGAGAGCTTGTGAGCATGCTGACCCATCTTCATGATGCCCAAATCCAGGAGGAGTTCACATATATTGAGTCCTGCCTCTAAGACTCGCAAGGAGCAGATGTTGGAATCCTTCTTGAAAATTGTATAGACAGCCTGGAATGTAAAAAACAATAATTGTTGTCATGTTTTCTGAATTTAATCATTGCTACAACTTACCAGCAGCAGAATTTCATAGTCTATCCCTCCTTCAGGTGTGATATAGAAGGACGAACCTGGCGCCTCAGATTCATCTGGACCTGCATAGGCGATGTGGGAGTCTGTATGCGAGCGAAGCATTTGATTTCTAAACCCAAAAGCGCTTCCAGTGCTGCTCAGTGCATCCAATTGAGAGTCTATGGATCCTTGGCGACGAAGATAGTCCGGACTTGGAGTTGGCGTGTGTTCAGTGACTGTGATTATGGGATTTCTGGCGAACACTGCGGCTTTCGGTCCGGCCTGAGGAACGGGCTTCGCAACCTTTTGTGGCTCCACATACCTGTAAAATCTTAATCATTTTCACTGTATTTGCAATGCACAACAATGCTGAATTTGCGAAAGTACTCAGTGTGAAAATTATAATATGCATAAGCATTATAGGCTTGATTGATTCAATATCGCACAGATTAATATATATAAATCAATAGTAATTTGGCTTCTATTGCTGCTAATGATTGTTGAATTGATTCGAATGTGCAAAAAGCAATTGAGAAGAGATGAGAGGAGAAATCAGAATGTAAAGCTCAGTGAGTGGGCAACTGCAAAATTAGCAGTGAGATAGACAAGAGTGGCACTTACCCGCTATCAAGAAGACAGCTGGTAAATTGACAATAAAGTTCTATTAGAGTGAAACTAGGTTTGGAGCCTAATGTAGGAGAATTAGAAATAGGGAAATAACGTATTTTGTTAAAGTGTGCGTGTGTTTCGGATTTAGTTTCTTTAACTCCTAAAAATGAAATTCACACAAACTCTTGGTTACATTCGTATTTGGACAACTTTAAGGATTTTATGCATTGCATGATTTAATCAAACTCAATATTTACCTCAAACTCGGCATACTCTTCCCCTTGACCAAGTTTGTTGACGGAGTACGAGCAATCATGGAAACCGATCTGGATAGGTGAGATTCACCAGTATCTAAGCTGCGATGTAATTCCTAAACAAAGAATAACACAAGATTAGAATCACACGAGAGTCTTAATAAAAAGTTTCTTACAGATTGCTCAAGATTTTTCCCGTTCGTGCCAAAGTCAAGACCAACTTTTTCAAGAGCTCGATCTGATTTTGAAAACATTCTAGTTTCTACGAAAGCCCTAGCAATGTCAGCCATCTTCACTCGGCGCTTTTTCTCACTTCCTCGTCGTCCACTTGAAGAATCATCTGCTAAGGTAATGTAAAATAAATCAGTATCTCATTACATTTATATGAAATAATTACTACTACCTGTAACATGCGCCGAGACTGAAACATCAGGCACCTCAATGTAGTCTTTACCCGCGGAACTTCCGCTAGGGCTGTCGCGACTATTCGGACCCTGATAGACCGAGATTTCAATTTGTGGAATAGGCAAGGAGTTTGAGCGCTTCCTTGGCTGGGGAGCCGGAATTGCAGCTTCCTCGCTAATGTCCCGAAGTCGATTATTGAAGTAATGTAGACTCCAGTAGACTCCTTCCTCTTGCCAATGAGAGATGAAGAGGCATCTAATGACAGCCACATCTAGGAATGTGGCCGCAGTTATGTCGTATTTAATCAATTGAGGAGATCTCGAGCCATCGTCGATAGAGTCCTTCTCGGCTGGAGAATAAATCTTGCTGCCGCCTGGGAAGTCCCTTTTATCATGACCTCTGTCATAAACCTCAATCTTATCAAAGTCAAAGCGGTTTGGAAAGCGTTCATGCTTGTCTTGCGAGAGTAAGGATTGTTTGCTCCCTCTGTGACTCTGCTGAAGAAGACTGGCGTCAGCCTAAAGGGGAAAATATTACTTATTCAAAGTTCTCATCACAAAGTGTTTTCTCTGAGTTTATGTTTTAGTTAGGATTGGATAAATAAATGAATGTTTTTTCAGGCATCACTCACAGTGTAGAATGAGTCCAATAAATTCTGCCCCGATGATGGAAGCCTGAAAATAACCACACGCTCCTCTTCGACACTGGATGCTTCTTCGGGGATGGTCTCTGGGAAGACACAATCTTTCGGCGAGGAGATCCAATCATCATCATGCTTGGGTGTTTCCGTCGAGTATGAGAGACTCTGTGGCGAATCGAGACTTTGGGGAGTCATTTCGGCACCAGACTGTTTTCCTGCGTAAGAAGGGTCTCATGTGGGAATTAATATTTCATCCAAATATGAATGCGTTATACTCACTGATGGGAAATTCATCGGGCGACATTGTTGACTTGGGACTCGTCGGCGAGAGTAGTTGCCTCGCTCGGGGCTTCACAGGGGCGATGAAGCAGGGCGCACACGGGGCTCGATACTCCCACATTCCCTGCCACAGTCGAATGCCATTCTCGAGGCGGAAATTCTGGAAGTCCGACTCCTTTAGGTGATGAGCAATTGGCGCGAAGAGGTAGACAAAGAGCTGCAAATAAAATATTAATGGCGATATTCAGGGTGAAACCAGAGCGTTAGGCCAACACTCACCGTAATGGTGGGAACGGAAAATAAATACTGATGACTCTTCTGGGATTGTCTCTCCTGCTCCGTCTCGGAATCCGCACACTCCTCGCCGGCAAAGAGAAGTATCCAATGGAGGGTGTAGAGCAATTTCGTTTCAGGCGTTCCAATGCTCTGCAAGTCTTTCACCCTTGGGAATATTTTTGTAAAGAACAGTGAATTGAAAGGAAACTTGTCCAAAATTCAAACAAAATGAGCATAAAAATATTCCTATTCAAGACTTTAAGTGTGCAACAAATAACTAAAACGATTAAATATAATTTCTATTGAATAATTATAGATATTGGTTCACCACAATTCTTACCTATTGTGCAGAAGCGCGGCTGCACAGTGCATTACATGGGGCAGGGCAGCCTGAACGAGTCTCCATCTGGGGATTGCATGCAGGGCAGAAGTTAGTGATGGTGACAGCCCGAACTGAATGTTCTGCACGAGTACTTTTTCGAAGGACTGCAAAACAAATGAATATCATGAATTAATTGAATGGAATAATTGCAATTTATCAAGATGAAGAAGATAAACTCCAAGAAAACTTTTCCGTACCTTGCACGCTTCTTTCAACTCCTAAAGACCGTGATCGAAGATGAATGACAAAAGAAAAGTTTAATGTTAGCATCGTGGAAAACATACACGATATACAAAGTAGGGAGTTTGTGATCTTTACAAAGGGACTCTTGCTAAATTGGTATCTTCTTTAGCATTGAATCACTTACATGATGTCCGGGTGCATGTTGGCAAAACTACACCGCATTTTTTGTGTGCATGATGCGAGCAGAAAGCAAGACAAATACAAACATACATATTTACACAGAAATATATACACTCATTAGACATTATTAAAGACATATTATTAAATTTTTGCTTTATCCAATTCAGGAATTTACATATTCAGTCGTTCTGTTCTAGCAAATAGTTCAGTTTTTGAGTGATATGCCGATTATAATTTAATTTAATACAACCGCCTCTATGTGCAGGTATGCCCGAGAGAGATGTTCCGTTTGATATGCAACAATCAATAATGCATATAGGCTGACATACAGAGTGATGATATATTTCCCAAACGGAAAAACCACTGATGACAAAGCCATGTCTCATCAAACAGATAAAGTATCATAGTTTATATAGCAACATTTAAATGCATAAGAGTATACCCTCTGGGGTGTTTAACTCCGTGTTTAATTTAATTTATTGAACATTTATGTTTTTCTATGATGTTTAATTTTTCCATAAGATAAGTTTAATTGTATTGCTTTTACGCTATTTACAACACAATAGCAGAATGAATTAAATTCCCAATTAAAGCAGAATCCAAAAATTGTGTTATTATAAAAAAAGAAATGCTTTAATATTTTGGTAAATATCTATTCCTTGTTGTTGAAATAAAAAGTGAGTATCAAACAGCATTTGCTTTTGTATTTTTCTGTCTCTTTTTCAGGTTAAATGTCTGCCTCTCTGCAATGCTCATATTCAATTGTGGAATTTTGCAGTGAATAGATTTCCTCGTGTTTTGTCTGAGAGTTACATGTACTCCATCGTGTGAATACTTGGCTCATAATGATTTTGTACAAATTTGATTAGTGATAGCAACACATTAACACTGAGGCGCTTTATGTACAGCAATTATTTTCCCGTGAATGATTTGATGTAATTGTTGCAATTGAACACCGAATGTATTTTCCCATTCGCCATTTACTTTGAATATCCTTTTGCATAATTTCAAATAATTTGTACATCTCTTCTGCTTATGGAACAGTGTGCATGTTATTTAATAAAATCATACCATACAACTGGCTTCGTGGAGCTTGCCAAGTTTCGGCCGAATAAATGGTGCAATTTGTCGCCAGAGGAATGTTTGCACCGGAACAGGAACACCCAAATCTTGTAATCCATCGTCCATGGCGTCCGGACTGAGGGCCTCCATTGCGACTCTTATCGGGCTGTCAGATTAAAATTGCAACTCAATTAGCGGACGAGGTGAGTGATGAATTCCACAACAGCGCATTGACACACATTCCGATAAGCTCAAATAATAACGCGGAATGACAATCAATTAGATTGGCCGGGAGTGGTATGAGATGCCATTCTAATCAATAATTCCTCATGATTCCGTCCCGGGAGAAAATTGAGACGCATAATGTTGAAAAAGCTCAGCGCGGCGCTTTTCTCACACATTCAGCATTTGTTGTGCACTTTTCAGCTCTGGGGAAGAGCGAAAAGATGTGTTATGGGTGAAATTTTCCAGCGAGAGAAAAATTCTCAAGTGGAAATCCAATATGTCGTCGGTGCAGATGTGGGAGGACGAGAAAAATGGGCCCAGCAAATCCACTACAATTCAGGCGCTTTTCCGTCACTTTCCAACACGCAATATCTGGCAAAGCAACTCATTCGCTGTAATCAGCCAAACAATTCACCTTTATTGGTCATTTGGGGCAATTTTCACGCAATAATTCGCATTGGAAATTGGCCGAGACCCACCCACTCGCCACAGCTTGGCAATTTTCTCACAAGGGAAAATTATTTTTCACACTATCACTGTTCGCAGAAGCGACTATTGCGAGCTGCGAATGCCTTCACTCACCCTTGGCGGTGGGGAAAAGCGATGGAAAATGTGGAAATTCAGTGTGAATTGGCAGTATTTTACCTGAACGATTGGGTGGGGTGCAGAAGGAAAAGTGAGAAGAAGGTGTTTGTTCAGTAATTTTGTCGCGCGAGTGATACGGACACGCGAAGGGCTATGTCATGACACTCGGAGCCCCGTGATGGCGACTGATTCAGCCAGCGAGAGCTCAGCGAAATCGGACTGTTCTGGAGAAATTATCGATCGGACGGAAGATGAAATCGTGTCAGGAGCGGTGACTGCGGATTCTGCGCCCTTCTGGAGCCGGTCAATGTTTACAAACAACTCCCCATGTGGCGTTCCATATGATTTCATTGATACCGTGCCACTCGTGCCTGTCGCCACGTGCCTCTTCATTCATCGGCCACCCTTCATGCCACGGCGCTCGCGTAATGTTGCCCCCACGGAATACATTATGTACTGTAAAACCCCCTCCGAAGCGCCACGGAGAATTCTCGCGAGAGACTCAAATTTCAAGGGATTTCCTGTTGCACTCCACTTTGAAGAGAATCAAACCACCGGAAGGATATGCATAATGGATCACTGAGGTTCTCAAGTAATTATAAATAAGCTTTTCGAATAATAAATAACGGAAGGTTCGTGAATTTCATCATCTCTTTTAGTTATTTATGAGACATTAGTTAACCTCTCTTATGGTTTGCTAGAAAATAGTAATACTTAATGTCTTATTAAACAAAAGGGAATATTACTCCCTGTCTCTCGACGCTTCAAGAATGCTTTAGATTTATTACAATCCCCAAAGAACATGCAGCTTTAGCCGTTATACGGACTAACTATTAATTTCCGTGATAAGGTTATCTTGATTTTTGAACATATACTAATTATATTTTTACTTTATATATACATAAATTGCTTTTCAGCCAGAAACTATATGACAGAACTTAATAAAAGTCTGATTTTTCTGATTAACACGCTTCATTTACATACAAGAATGTTTCTTTTGACTCGGAACTTTATAGTTTTGTGGTCATTAAAGGGCAAAGCATCGTCAAAGAAAGGGCCAAAATATCCATTACAATTCCGTACTCTCGTGTACACCTCGCTTTAGCATTTCAAAAGGTGTTTGTGACACATTATGCGACTAATACGACCTCACTAGGAAAGGCATTAGCTTTCTCATTGCGATCGTGCCAAGAAATTCAAGTAATGGTATCCTATCGTTTGTCTCAACTATTTTTACACTCATAACGCTACTAATACACAAATCCGCACAATTTCCCTGGCACTCAGCCTGTGATAGTGCGTGCGAATAATCTGGCTGACAATTTTTCATGCATTGCTCTTACATCCCTTCTGCTCGAACTTTAATATTTCATTGTAGCTACACAAGTGCAATAGTCCATAAGGAAGTTCAGAAATTGACATTTTGACGTATATTGCAACATTAGATCTAGCAAATCTTATTTTGTTTACCCTAGAGTTCGTCTCTATTTCTGTAAATTGCCTAGAATTCCATTGTGTGTGAAAACAATTAAACCAAGCGACAACATTGTATAATCTGATGGCCATAAATATGGAGACGCCTGGCTGAAATGACTTTGTGACGAATGTCGGAAGGCTCCTGCTCCTTTAACGTTACCTCATAGAGCCCGACAAATATGAGTGCCAAGTCCATCAGCACTAATTTCGATGTCGCCACTCCATTGAATTTTACGAGAGTGGATTTAGCCTATTTTTGGACGCAATGTTTCGTGACTTCTATCGCATTCCTCGGAAATGAAAGTGCCGGACGATCGATTAATTTAGGCGATAGGACTTCATTTGAAGCTCTTTCATCTGCATGTTATTTTGCAGAAAGTGTCAAAAAGAAATCTCAGCGCATAAATCTAAAGTGTTTGATTTACAGCAATAGACAGCAATTTCAGCAGAAGAGCCACTTGTTCTGCATAGACTTAAATATCACATTTTTGGCAATTCACCAACCATCAAAACTCCAGGCCATTGATGTTCCAATTGCGATTTCATATGAGTCATTTAGTCTGATGCTCGAAAGGCTACAAACTAGTCATGTTTTGGAATACAATAATTGAAAATAAAGTAAAAAGTTTTCATTGAAAAAATCTGTATAATTTTTAAATTGAAATTCAAATTGAGCATCTTCTTTATCTAAATTTCTACATTGAATCCAGACTTGCCTATAAAGCCTCTTTTGTCACGCCCACTCAAATGCCCCGCCCCGCTTAGCTGAATTGTTTTTTTTTTTCTTAATAGAACAGTTATTAAAATGCATATCTTTGATTTGAGAATCTATTTGCCCTATCAGGCTCTGAAGTCTTAATTGCTGATCACGGTAGACGGAGATGGATTTTAATATGATGCGTGAGTAGTGATTTTTGCCCCGTGATGAAAATATTTCGTTACGGTAAATTGATAAAGGCCTCGCGAAATGACGAAGCCAAACGCCGTACGGCGTCGACCTCAGGCGTCGTGAATGGGTGTTTGTTTCCTCTGCAAGCAAAATCCACTCACACCACCGCAAGCATAATCGGGCATTTTTCTGTGAGTTAATTTTTGTAGAAGGAATTTGGATCTGTGTCACGCACAGAAATAGACACAAGCTTTTGTTAGAAAGCAACCCATTGAATCACTCCAGAGTTAGTCAAAATCCGTGTTGACTTCGACTCTGGCGCACGATGGGTGGGAGAGTGAATTCTCACGACCAGGGTGGAATTGGGGCGGCGAATGGTGATCTCGGATTCTCCCAATGGACATGGGAAGTTATCCCGGCAATTTCACACGCTAGGTGACTTCTTTCCGTTGTGATAGAACAAAAAATTATTATAAGAGAAGGAATTCCTTGCGAGCATTTTAATATGCTTCTCTTAATATCTGGCAGACAAAAATAAACCTCCTAAACATGTAAATTTTCGCCAATGATCCAAGGTTTGATGGTGTTTCACGAGTTTGATTCTGTACGCGACGCTCTGATCGGCTTCTCAGTTTGCGTTCCGACGTCCCAGCACCAACTTGATCTTCAGTTGAGTCCGCAGTTGTCCGCGAGAATCATCACACACATTTTCAGCCATGGTGAGTCTCAAGCCAGGGCACTTGAGTGAACCCTTCAGGGTCCTTTAGCCAATATTAATTGATTATTCAGAAAAAGTGTACAATGAAAATCATGGATTATTGTGGAGATCTAGTGTTTATATTACGCACTTGGACTCCTTTCCTCTTGCGATGTGACTTTGAAACCTTAAGTACCTGACCTAACGTTGCGTAAGAGTTCAAAACGAAAGTGATGTGTCAATTAAATTCTTTTCTGGCGAATCATAAGTCTTCGTGATACCATATCAATATCCAGGATGATATGCTTAACTATATTCTTAAATATTTTTTTCGTCTCTAATTTCAGGCCGGAGATCTTAGTGCACGAGACATTGAACGTAAGTCCATTTCACATTGAAGCCTTAGAGACGGGGACCCGAACGGATAAAGTGATAAAAAAAATCAGTGAAATTTGATCCTGTGTAAAAATATGTTTGTGATTTTTAATTCGTCCGTGAGATTTGTACACGTAACATTCTATGTGGTTCTCTCGCGGCGTTTGATTCTATAATTAGACCCAGTTCATATAAGGAGCGCCAAGCCAGTCATCTAAATAAAGACTCATGCTCGAGTAGTGCTTTCACTCTCATGAGCCTTTTCGTGGATATTCTCTGATTATTTCTTTGAAATTCACTAAAAATTATATTTTCAAATCGGAAGAAAACCAAATAATGGAACCTTTTCCATACGAGATGACCGTGACAATAAATCGGAATAATGAGAATGCTTCCTTTCGGTTGAATTTTAGGGGCGGAATTCGCCTTCTCAATTTTCGATATGGATGGTGAGGACTCCATTGATGCCAACTCTATTGGTGATGTCTTGCGCGCCCTGAACCTCAACCCAACCCTGGCCACCATCGAGAAGATGGGCGGCACGAAGAAGAGGGGCGAGAAGAAACTCAAAATTGAAGAATTCCTCCCAATCTACGCACAGGTTAGTTACCATCATGAAGCGTCTTCTGGGAATTATGCAGAAACTGACTGGTGATTCTAAATTGCAGGTCAAGAAAGAAAAAGACCAGGGATGCTATGAAGATTTCCTCGAGTGTCTGAAACTGTACGACAAAAATGAGAACGGTCTTATGCTCCTAGCTGAATTGAACCACAATCTTTTGGCCCTGGGTAGGTTCTGACCTTCCTCGAAAATACACAAAACGTTCTAAACTTTGACTTTATTCCCGTCTTCAGGTGAGAAACTCAATGATGATGAAGTCGCGGAAGTATTCAAGGACTGCTTGGACCCTGAGGACGATGAAGGCCAAATCCCCTATGCCCGTGAGTATCAAAATAGCTCCACAACCCAGATTCCCAAAAACCTCCTGGCACCGATGTTTATTTCAGCTGGTTTACCTCAATTTACTAAGCACTTTTTCTTGTTTTCTCCCCCATCACGTTTTTGTGCACCTGTCCATGATGATCACAAAAAAAACCCTTCCCTTCTACGAATGATTGGATTCACCCTGTTGAAATTGTCCTGCACACCTTGGATAAAAATTCACCCGAGTAGCATTCCTTAAGAAACTGATGGCTTAAGAAATGGGTGTCCCACCAGAAGATACAACAAAGTCAAAACACATTTTTACAAATTTCATCTGCAGGAACCTTTCTCAATAGAATTCGTAAGTATGTTCGCTGATAACAGCGTCAGTGTTGTGGCTATTCAGATGCTTCTCTTCAGGCGATCTCTCTCCTGACGATGCTGAGAATCTACATACATTTCTCGCTTTAAACAAAAACAATAACTCACCACTTGACATCATCAAGCTCTTTTCAGCAAAATCCTAATCCTTCTAAGCACTCGTAATCCTACTGTTTTCTGTGTTGTGTTCTCTTCTTACCAACGGCAGGGCAAACTATTGAAGTAGAGAAAAAAAACAGCTGATTTTGCTTCCTCTGACACTCTTTCAACACTTCATTAACCATGTCTAATGGCAAATTTCTCATCATTCTTTCAGCATTCCTCCGAAAAATGTGCGATGGTTGGGGAGCGAAAAAGGAAGAGGGTGGAGAATAAAAAGTGCCTATCAGGAGAATGACATGAAATCAAATCAATTTGTAAAGATATGAAAAGAGAAAAAAAAGAAAAAAATAAATTTCAAAATCGTGACGCAGACCATCATCAATTCAGCAATAAATCAATTCTTTTGAAAAAGTACATCTAAAAGATCAATTTTATAACATCAAAAATGACATCAAATGTTATGTGTAACATCGGAGCATAATTAATTTAAATAAAATATTTTATTATACAAAAAATCCATATCGCGGAAATTTTTGTTGTTAATAAAATCAATAGATGATTTTACGTTATTAGAGTTTTGTATTGGGGACAACTTCTATTTTCTTACTTGCTCGCTTTAACATTGCTCAAAGAAAGTGATGAAATTCTCTTTTGTATGTCGTCAAGCTAAGATTTATTTTTGAAGTTGTTTTATTTATATATCGTTTAGATCTTTGATTTTTTTTTAGAATTGACACTCCATTCCAAAAACATTAGAAACGTATGAAAAATCTAAACATATACATATGTTTACGTATTGATTTTGGAGTTGAACCCTGAGAATCGATATTCAAGCTGAAACCTGTGAGAGATTTTCGGAGGTTGGTATTCAAAAAATTAGAAATTTTAGAGATTTTCAAAAAAGAAAAAAAATTCTAAATTAAATTTCGAGTTGTTATATTAATGTCTATATAAAATATCACAACGTCAATTTATTTACAAACGTTCTTAAGCTAAATGTCGATTCTTCAAAGCTTCTTCACGAGCTTTCCCGCTTTTCCGCCGCCCTTTTCAACAATTCTGCTAGATGTCAGTGTACAAATGAGAGGCGTCGCCCATATCTCAGGTCTAAACCTTTATCACCACTACACATCAATATTGGCCGTTTGAATTCTGCGCGATAATTCAAATTGAGAAAATCACACTCTTCACTGGTGTGTGTGCGGTCGGCGAGGAGGTGGACATTTGTGTGAGTGACTTGGCTGGGAAACAATTTTCTCTCGTGGAGCTGCACATCAGTTTCATATCTCTGGCGGCTGAAAGCGTTTAAGAAGTGTGAAACTTCATCGGATTTTCAGTCACACTCTTTTTGGGGGAGATTTTCACTCAATTGCCACCGTCTCGATTGTTTTGCGTCTTTTCGTGAGAAAAGGGAGTCTCGGAAACAATAGTGGTGCAAATAACAGTGATAAGGGTGCGATAAATAAAAAAAAAGCTCTCTGTGTGCAGTGAAAGTTCTTTCTTCTCACTCAGCTTCTGTGGTGAACGAGGGATAAAGGAAAAAAAGGATTGCTCGAGAAGACGTCTTGTGAACAGGGATACAGAAATGGCGGATGTTCGAAGCAACTCCGGAGCAGAAAAGCTCAACAATTCTACACCCCATCAGCACAATACAGGTTCGACCACACCTGCACAGCTTTTTCCTGCACTTTTTATCATAGCTTTTGTGATTTCGCCTTATCACGCGAGACATTTCCACTGTCTCCTTATCAGCCACCAGTGCGTTTTTTCCGCTCACCTCCGTGACCATTAGTGAAAATGTAATTTAGATTTTTGCTCGGCGATGTGCAAGACAAATTAGAGGCTTTCCTTATCACAAATTCTTTCCACTTTGTCTATTTTTCAATAAGATAGCGGGGTAATTATGAGTTATAAAAAGAAAATATGAGTGGCATATGAGCAAATACTTCTGCTGATAAAAAATCACACAGATCAATGTTTTGGGTGCGCACATAATTCACCGAGTGTGACATCATTTTATAAATAAACAACAATGTCTTCGGGGCTCCACTGAATGTGTTAAGTAATCGCATTGACGAACCAAAGGTGAATTAATTAGCATAAATTTAGATGGACAGTGTTAAAAATTTTCCTCAACCAAAATACCACGGAAATAAAACTGGTGCTGGAAAAACCTGCAGAAGCTCCAAACACAGATTCGCCACTCAGAATCTCATCAAGTCATAGTAAAAGTTCAAGTCCGGTGATGTCACTTTCTTGGAGTACAGCTTTAGTTCTGTGCCGCGCGATAAGTGTTGCAATTTGAGCGCTTTGCATTGAAACAGTTCGTTCAACTTGTGACATTTCTGATATTTTTCACCTAAATCTTTCATGCGAGAGACATATTTTATTGAGGGTAATATTCAGGGGTGAATTCTCATATACTAAAGTTTATGGTTATGTGTTTACTGTAAATCAATTCCGTGAATTCAAAGCTGAGAAAAACATGAAAATTTATTTTAGCTCTATTTAAATTGAGTCTCTTCTCGTCCTGATTTGTGAAAATAGATTATTTTCTTTCTCTATATTTTTTTTTGTTGTAGCGATATAATGTATACAATTGATTATATCGATTAAATTTTTTCAGTAGGATATTTCTATAAAAAAAATATAATTTTTGAGCAAATTACCTTAGCTTTTGAAGATACACTTTAAAGTCTCTCAAGGATTTGGGGATGAAAAAATCGATTCACAACAGCTGAGTTTCTCAAATTAATGTTTGTCAATGTCGAAACTTTAAACACTCAGGCAATACTGTTCACAAGTCTATTCACAACTTTTAAATACAATTAAAAGTCATTTCTCTTGTCAACAAACTTCTCTTCTAGTTTTGTTTTGACCCTATTTAATTTACCACTTTGGTAAAAAAATTTCCGTGCAGAAAATGCATGTAATTGTACTTGTTCATAAAAGCATACAAATTTTTTTCATAAAATTATGCAATATTTTAAGTGCCGCCACACTATTAAACATATAGCGTCAAATAGTGTAGTGGAATATCAGAAAATGTCAAATGGAATTGATAGTGAAGTGTTAGAGTTGTCTTGCATGATGTCTACATGAAAATCAGGACAATGCACTTTTCTGCTTCTTTTTCACAATAAACGAAAGGACTTTGTAGTCGAGGTGTTGGTCTTCGGGTGTTATAGGGGTTAATAACAACTAAATGGGTCGTGTACGTCATGTACTGTACATGTATGTAAATGAGGATAATTTTCGTGACAAACAAATGAGTCCATTTTTCGCTCATTATATGGATCAATCACGCGGTGGAGTTGATAAAAAGGAAAAGTTTCTTCACGAAAGCTCAGAGAAGCTTCCTCAGTGTCGCACTAATAGATGAATCTATTTAGACACGTGACACTGATGGATGTTTTCATGATTTCTTTAACAGTAAACACATGCATTAGTTCACAAGAGAGATGTAACAGAAATATGTGAAATCATTCCGTACATGGGGAGACTGCCTTTTTTGGCGTCAACGTATTTCAGTTGCATTTACAGAAAAGTAAATATACAATGTGGGGCAAATATGAGTTATTGTTGGGAGATAAGTAAACCAGAAATGGAATACGATATTTCAAATTTTAACTATAGCACTTGTTAGAAGAAATTCGTGCTCGAAATACAGTGTATTAAAAAAATGTCTCGGTCAATAAACGGACACAAAGGATTTACTTCAATATGACAGAGAAAACATCTTCAGTTTTATCTCGTCAATTGTGTTTAAAATGTTTTCTTCTGATTGAGAACACGTCTCTTCACTCCTCGCTTATGTGCACGGGTTTTCAGAGAGTATTTTCCCATGGCAAAAAGATATTAACAGTATTTTTAGAGACGAAGAAATCTCATGTGAAGAATTGGCAGGGTATCAAATACTGAGCCTCCTTCGTGAAATTGTGTGACTAATATTTTTGTGTTTATCCCACCTGCTATAGAATGAACACAATCGCTGCGAGACTCTAATGTGGGACTTTCACGAAACTATCAGCTGATTTTCAGTGCGAGGAGTTGGGGAAATTCTACGGCATTTCTTCTATTTGAGAAGTTCATTTTGAAACTTTAAAGGACTTTTTGGGGAAAATACCTTAGTAATTAAACAAATTAAATGCGCATTTGACTGTAAAATGTGGAATGCAGTTCTCACAGTAAAAATTATAAAAGCATCGATCAAACTCCATATCCTCGAAGGATATCATGCTATGTATACCAGCAGACTACTGTTTGCACTCTCTCCACTTTGAGGTAGGTTGGCTATGTGCCTTTCTCTTGGGCTATAGAGACAAGGTGGAAAAAAGTTTCAGATGTGACGGAACTGCATGACCAAATCGCTATAGAAACATTTCATGGCGGTATGTTTGAGACCATGAAATGCAAGATATGGGATATTGATTAGATGTAGATTAACTCGCCATTTTACTTCCATATATCTCCTAAATCACTTTTCGATGATGAGTATATAAAACTTATTTTTATCAGTAAACGTGCCTTTGTGTGCTTTTCATGGTTCCGCCATCTAATAAAGAAAGTTCATAAAGCAAAGATATTTGCGTGTGGAAATCACCTTTTTTTGCTCTCATGCCCAATAAATACCCTTTGAAGTTAATTTTGGGAAAATACAAACATTCTCACAATATGTGTATACAAAAAGTACATGCAATTAAATTGAATTGTTGCCATGTGCAAGTATTTCAGGTCTTTTGCGTGAAAAAAGGGCAAAAGGTGTCTTATTGTGTCTTTTGAATGAAGAATGACAAAGAATGAGAACTACAGAAATTCCTGACATTCTTTTATAACACTAACACAATATTTACCATCCACTCAAAACAATTATGAGAAGTCTATTAAGGTGATAAATTCATTTATTGATTTTTAGAATAGTGTAATGAAAAAGAGCGACAAAACCTCAAAGAATTACTAAAAAATTCTAACTACATTATCATTGGCATTTGTCCTGTTTGCCAGAAAGCAACATGAAAATGAAAACAGAGAAGTTTCATGCAAGTGTAATTGAACTGTTTTTCGAAAAAAGAATGATTCAAGTAGAGATAGAGTGCGTTAAAGACCTCATTGTTGTTAATTAACAGCATGCGTTAACATTTTCAATGCATCTTCTGAAGTCACAAGATTGATGGGAACTGAACAAAAGTGTGTCTGTGAACATATTCTGGAATTATTACAATTAAAGTGACTCAGGCGGAGAAAGTAATGATTCATTTGCATAATGAAAGATAAAAATCGGAAAATCGACAGATTTCATCTCAGGGAAAAGACATTGAATATTTATGTTCCACTGAACAAGTGTAAAGCGATTTTAATTTGACGCAAAAATGAATTTAATTTATAGAAAACACGCAATTTTTCTGGTTTTATTTGCAATGTAGACACCAACTTGCCTATATCGGATGTCATTAAAAGTGAAGAGCGGAGCAAGCTTACCTCATGAATCAATCCAAATGCGTGTGAGGTTCATTGAGAGTGTAGCAAGAAAAACGAGACAAGAGCAAGAAAATCAATAGGAATTTTTCTTCTCTCGAGACATTTTTAGATCACCGTCAGTTGCCATTTATGCTAAGAAATTCCAGTATATCGTAAGCTTTGCATAAAAATACCATCACGAAATCGCAGTCCTCAGAATAGTAATTTAATGAGGCAGAATCTGCAAATGAGAATTTTATGAATACACATTTGACAAAATACCACTGACAATACAGAACATTTTTATCCCTTGTGACATGACAAGGGAAGTGCAATCAATTGCGGTTTCGCATATTTGGCAGATTATTCATATTCATGCCTTTCTGGGGGTGATTTTAATACACTTTCTGCGGGGAAGTGTTGAACGCCCGCCAGTTTCTCCCCTCGATTTTAATCACATTTGTTTGGATATGGTGGATGCGTTTTAAGCAACGCCACACAAAGTGCTGAGATATGTTTCACTGGGGTGTGTCCTAATAACTCTTGTTCACTTTAATAGAGGGTGGATGTGAGAACAGTGGATGATCAGTGGTCTTTTGTGAGAGCGGCTGAGAGGGAAATTATGCTGTGTGGTCTTATGACAGGTAGACACGAAGTTTCTCTTGAATCCCTTGAGCCTCGTAGACACGTGCCAATGAACTTTTCGCCATTTTTTTAGCTTTTATAAATATCTGAGTGATGAATAGGCACAAAAGTAACAGACATTTCCAATTATTCCTTTGATAAATTGCCTTTTGCAAGCAAGTGGTGCAGAAGAAATAAATTGTTAATTGATTTCCCTCAATGATTTGCACACCTGGGCTTAATCTACTCCACTTCCCTATGATTTCCTACAGATTTGTTATCCTTTTGGGATGATTGAACTTTTACTGAATGTTCTTCATTTTCATTCGAGTCAATCGAATACTGTTTAATCGATTGGTGGGCAATATATTTTAGCATAGTTTACAAACTTACTGAATTGATGATATTTCGAGACAGCAATATTTTTGACATTATATTGCCTTTATTGTAAATTAAAACAAAAGAAGCGATTCATGTTGTTTTTCAATTAAAAATTCTCCAACCACCAATATTGGAATAGAAAGAAATTTATAGATTCCTCCAAATTGTGCAGCCTTGCGTATAATCCGAAGATACACTGCCATTCGTCAATTACATTTAGAGTCAATTTGTTGACTTTTTTACCCACATTGTGTGTGGCAATAAAACGTGATAAAAAAGCAATAAATTCTTCTACTAATTGAACCGAAAAAATTGTAAACTTCCAAAAAGACAAACAATAACCAGAACTCCATCATAGCGTGAGCCGCAAACCTCATAATAAATCGGGGGACAACGCATGGCGAATTCGTCAATTGCGCACGGAAACAATAGATTTGACCTTTTACGACTGATTTATTTTTATGCAATGGACCCACTAATAAGCATCTGTCCCCAATGAGATGAGTGAGTTGGGAGAGAACGCTTAAAATTAGTCTCTTTCACCGGGACGCCGCGATGATGTGACCATCACTGCACAGACTCACGCCAGTGGGTGACATGAAATCTGTGAGTGGCAAGTTTTTGAGTATTTGCATAATTGCGAAGATGATTTAATAGTGAAATTTTTGGGAATCTTCGTGGGTGTTGAAAAAAAACTCTAGAGGCAGTTCCAAGTGAGACTCAGGCGAAGCGCGAGATGAGTCCGAATGTGTGTTTAGCAATATCATCTGCTGCGTGAGCAAGTGGTTGAAGAAATCAATAATGCCTTACGCAGTTTCCCTTATTCCCGCATATCGTGAAAGAACTTTTAAAAATTCTACCCAGTTGCGTTCGTACTTAGGCCAACGTCAAGGAAAATTAATGACAGTTTATGCAAAATTCCATAATTACTTGTTTCAATGGAAATGCGTTCCAACGCGAGTCGGTGTTTGTTGGCGGTCTCTGTATTTGTTCTTTGTTATTGTTTTTCATGCTGGGTGGGTGAGGAGGCACCAATGTAGGGGAAATTGGCGCAGTCTCGATTTCAACGACAATTCCCTTTAAATGCCTCCACGCGCCATCTATTGCAATCACTAGCTTTTACAACGGACAAATTCATGTGAAATGTAAACTTTATACAGTTTGATAATACTTCTTTCCTCTATTTCAGGTAAATTAAATGTGTACCTTGACCACAAATTGGGTGAGTGAACGACACTTGATTGATTTCATTTGTGTCACCCGAATTTCTACTCAATTGACACTTTCCAGCTCTGCATATTTAATATGGTATAGACATTTTATTATTCAATTGTACAGAGTGTGAGAAAACATATGTTATTTGTATATATGTAATTATATATATCTACTTACAAAGTACTAAATAAATTAAATATGTATTTTATCATTTTATTGTGATTTGTTTGCGTCTCGCAAAAGTAAAAAAAAAACTATCGGTCATGATATTCCGTCAGAGAGGCTAATCAATACATTAAATTAACAAAATTTTTGGGAGATAAACAATAGAATTTCTGTTTGTTTGATTAGACATATTAAATAATTCGATAAATCCAATCAAACACCTCTTAATAATTATTTGAAGAATTTTTCCCTTTACAGGACTTACAGATTACTATGTGTTTATCAATATATGGTGTAAAATTAATACAAATGTTAATAAGTTACAAAACTGTAGGAAATTAGAGATGTTTTGACAATTTATTCGCCCCATGTCTTTGGTGTTTGATGCTTTCAGGACGCAAGCTCAAAGCATGCGCCCAAAGGCAGGACTCGAAGCGACATCAACCATTGCAATACACCGCTGTGCTTTTCCGATTTCAGTCTCTCAGATTCATTGAAGGACTTAACTAGTGCTTGTGCTTTGCTTAAGACAACAGGTAAATTTTTCCACTCTCTGCCCTTATCACGCTTCCACATAAACACTCCACCACCTCTGAATTCATCTCTCTGCCCTTATCGTGAATACCGCTGTATCATGCCTCAGATTGGCTGCTGAGTGTGCAACACAGAGCATTAGGGATTAAAGTGGTTATCCAACTTCTTGATTCTCTGTGACAACAAAATCGATTGGAGCTTTGTAGTTTTTGGGGATTGGCCTGTGTGGCAATTTGAGCTTTTCCTTGTTTACTCACTGAGCAGAGGGCTTCTTAAAGGAGTTTTGCACTCTCATTCGCTGCGGATTCTTTCCACCATAAAAGTTTAGCGAAGAGACTTTCTTTGTTGAGTACTTTGAGTTCATCTAAACTTGACTGTGACAATGACGTCAATGAACTTTTAGTGACACACAATTGTTCCACATATTGTCGATTATTTATAACCGGAATAATAGACAACACTTGTAGTCATGTCCTTTTTCACTGGCAATGCGCTAGACCACACATTAACCAGTAATTATAGGTCTAGCTATTTAGAATTCACGTAGAAATCACACGAATTGATCAGTATTGACTGCTCAGTGGAATGATAAATGGATGCAATTGAGGTCGTATAGAAGTCATTTGGCTTTTCCGCTCAGCATTTCCTCGAGAATCCTTAAATCACCACTAATACCGTGGAAATTCTGCAAATATGTTCAAGTGTGGGTGAAATCGACGTGAAAAATTGGCATAAATTTGTTTACAATTGTCAAATAAAATTTAGGTCAAATCCCATGTGTAGCGGTTATATTTTATATTAAATTCCACTGGCAAATACTTCATGGAAAATATTTCCACTGACAGAAGAATTGCTTTCGGTTTCCGTGGCATTCTTTCGAGAGATCTTGTAGAAATTTATGCAAATTGATGAGTCGTCGATTTCATCATCCACACCGATTTGGGCATCAAAACTCTGCGTCTAATCGCTGTGAAAGTTAACTCCAGCTTCAAGTGGTATCTCAAAACTCAGCTCTGTGCTCTACATAAAAATAACCACTAATGAACCCTCGAAAAATGCTTCTAAAACTTCCCCCAGCCAAATTGCTCCAAATAAGTTGGGGCGCGTTCTCGCGTCTGATTTATTATTCAGAAGAAATTATAAGAAAACAGGAATGGGAGGGTATATAATATTTCACTATAGTGATTCCCACTATTTTCCGAGGGGTCTCCTTCGACAAAAAGACCGTCTCAACTGCTATCTTTCCCCCAGGAGGAATGGGTCGCGAATTTTTCTGGGGCTACAGGTGAAAAGAAAGCAAAAAGGCGGAAAAACAAAGGTTTTATACCCCCTATAAGTGGCTTATCTCTTCCATTCATCAAGCTTTTAGGGCAAGTTTAGGGTGAACTCTGCTTATGAAGCTTAGTAATTATTATTTAGTTGTGTTTGCGCATATGAAAGTACAACATGAAAACTGAAATTTTATGCCAAAGTGCTCAGCAATTTGCTCCCATGATTTTATGGTGCAAAATAATTTTATTGCGTAATACAATTTGTCAAAACTGCTTCTATCTCTTGTGATAATAAGGACAAAGAGAGTTTAGACTGGATTTGCGCGGAATCATGATCCAATCGAGTAAGAAAAGAGTATTTCTATCTACCTCAGTCGGCGATTTTTTAATGTTCCCGAAAACGTTCCTGGCGATCCTTTGGCAAATCTTGATGCGGCAGGAATTGAATATTAAGTCGTACTGCATATTTTCATTATTCACTACTATATTGGCACGCAATTCATCAAATTATCACAGGATGAAAATTCCTGCTTGGTGTCTTCCGAATTGACATGAGAAATTGCAGTGGTGAATATGTAAAGTGGTGAAAATAAACGATCTGCGACCAACTTCAGACGGTGCAGAATTTGAATGTTCTCTATTTCCACATACAATGAGAAATTGATGTTATCACTGAAAATATTGGGAAAACAAGTCTTATTTGATACACACTTTGCCCATGTAAGAACAACACAGCAACGCCGCCCGCCGCTTGATGTTGCATCGACTCAGTAATCGCTTTTTGCGTGGAGACAACATTGAGATGGAGACGCCTGGTGGCTCGTGGGTATTTTGCGTTTCAATTGTAGAAAATTTCATTGCTCGATTCGATGCTATTTACCCACGTAAATACATGATATAGCGAGGGTGAAAGTAACTATTTCCGTCTGAATCACACTAAAAATCAATAATATAATTCCTCAGCTTTCATTCAATGTCTCTCCCTTCACGAAAAAAAAGCGCCAAAGAGGCCCGCAAGCACTTGCCGTAACCTTTGCAGAAATTCAAGTGGGATTTTCACCCATTTACGAGTGCCACGAGGATGAATATTACAATAACAGTGCAATATTCACTGTACATTATATCATAGCAATGGGGTGAAGTAGAGAAAAATATCGGCGAATGAGTATAAAATATAGATGAGTGTGAGAGAGGATTGATTATTGAGGTAATGGCCTATTTTTAGCGGATGTATTGCATGTCACCGTGTTATGTTTTGTCTGATACGACATTGCGTTTGTATTCCGCCGAAGTGCCTCATTGCTGTTTGCCAATATTCTGCAGAAAGGCCAGAAGAGACAACCAATGATAACTTTTACTCTCTTCATTTCGTGTGTCCCTTCTCACCCCAATTCTTTCTTTGGTATTTTTATATCCGCAAAATGGAAAAGAAAAATTGTGCTGCAATAAAATATGTAATAGTTGGATGGCCCTTGAGCTTATTTTTCCAACTCTTCGTCGCCTCGGTCCTGCAAAAATTTCATTACGACACTAAAATGTGCAAAATTGCGCTGTTCCAACCGAGAATGGATATTATTTGTGACTTTTACACGATAATAAACACGATAGCAATCTAACTGAAAAGTTTTCAAGAAATTTCAAGAATGCACTTTGTAGTATTTTACACATTAGCAGGGTTATAATTTTTTTATGTTCAACTCTTGCTTGGATTAAATCTTCAAGAAATCAACTGTATTTGATAATCAATTAAACACGGATCATGACTGTTCATTTTATTATAGTTTCCCTAAAAATATTAAATTCAGGCATTAATGAAAACTCTAGCGAATACTTCGTTCACTCTAATCGCATTAATGTTCTTGCTCTAATTTAACCCAGTCCTCACGTTAACGGTTTTGTCGAAAACTAATTTCACTAATAGTTTTTAAACAATTTGCATTTCCCCACACACTCAGCATATTTAATGAAGATCCTCGTGGTATGCGACGCAAAAGGAACAATAATAAACAGAGCTGCAAGAATTCTGTCGTCTCTAATAAATATTTTGTGCTCTGTATTTCATATTGCAACGAATCATGCAATTATTTCCAAGTTTCTAAGTACGTGTGTGGGAAATCACGCGTTACTTTAAACTTTCAATTGGCGATGTGGAGGATTGTTAAGGAGTGTGGCCACGCGCGTGCAATGGAGTGTTTTCTAAGGAAAACTTTTTCCCCACACATCGGAAATGTGTGATTGAATTTGACAGGAATTTTCACAGCTTTTAGCATAATAATTCACAGTATATGCGCCCAAATGAACGGTGGCGCAGGATATGTTGGAAATTTGTTCGCCTCTCTTTTACGAGCATTTTCATTAGGTAGAGTAGCTCTTGCCACAGGCTTGGATACTTGTTGAATAGACTGTGTGTAGATTATACAGCCAGACACTATATTAATATTTCGCATAAGATATCACGAGACTTTAATTTAATTAAGTAAACTTCATGTATTAAATTGAATCACGAGTTGGTCATTTACAACATGTTATCTGCCATGTTTTATTTTTATGTTTCTTCAGGTGAAATAGGTCACGAAAATTCTTTTGCGCCACTGGCTTTCACTCCACGAATTACCCCAGAAAGCCTTTTGGTCACTTTCAGTAATTGTGTCTCTTTCATTTTGCTGTAGACGAGAGAAGAAGAAGGACCTCAAGTGCGAGGAGGAATATTTCAGTGAACAAGTTCAAGCTATCAAGAATCAAGAAATTATACCCTGAGATGATCAAGAAAATCCGTGGGAGTAGCTCATAAAGTGAATTGATTCGAGAATTTGGTAATATTTCGTGAAGAAGTAAAAGTGATGGATGGAGAAATGGTAAGACACATCGCCGATCACTTTCATTCTCGATAGTGTGCTGAATCGCTCTCTGATTAGAAAATAGCCTGACCCAAAAAAGGGAATATTTGACACATGGAAAATTCACGGTCATTACTCGTCTATATTATAAGTGGGGTGTTGTTGCTAGGAAATTTATTTATTTGTTTATTCATATCCCATTTATTTTCGAAACATGAAATAAATCTTGGCGCGAGGGACGAGGACGATATGATAGGATTCACCCCTAAATTCGTTGGGAAAACCTCGAGTAGACAAATTCTTCCAGTGCCCTTTCCTTTCGTGCCAATCATTCCTACATTATTTATCCTAAAAGAAGAAAGGTTGACTCTATCCTTCTTTCCATATTTGGCATTGTCATTGGAATTTCGTCGGATCAATTATCACGCACCCTGTCTTCTTGGCTGAATTCCTTGAAAGATAATCTAACGCGACATGTTATGTTCCGAGTTTTCCGGGAAATTCATCGCCGTCAAGGTTACTTTTACTCATTAATTTGGCAAATTTTTAACTCAAAGGGAAACCCAATGAGAAACCTTGAATATAATACAGAAAAGAAAATTTTTATCCCACGCTTTCAATTCTTCAGGTTACATGAAATTTTCCTAGCGGGTTAATCAAATAATTGTTAGGGTTTACCGTGTTGGTTACAATCTGAATGTTACGCTTTACGGTAAAAGCTTTGTCTATGCGGTGACTTTGCGGGGCAAATAAATAAAGCTCAAGGGATATTCCATTTTGCTACGGAGCATAAAATAAATCTTCAAGTACTATTTGCATGCTTTTGGCTCATATCTTCTTGAAAATAGTTGAGAGTTGTCATAAAATTGGATGAACACCCTTGTGAAGTGGATGGACGACTTTTCAATGGGTTCACCTGGTATTGTGTACAGTTGTGTGATGGAAAATTGGCATTTGGCAGTAGAAAACAACAATATAATCGCGCAGACAAGAAGTGAAATTTATGGCCAAGTATATAGCCCAGAGACCTTGTCTCGCTCAATCATGCCAATATCTCATGTGATTTGAGGGGTAGTGGTTGTGCTCCGGCGCGGTTTCATTTAGCCAGTCTAATAATGCATTGATGAGTGACATTCTATATGACAGGATACATAGTCTCTGAGAAACGTGAAATTGGAATACCGCGTGTTGGTAGAAAAAAGTTTATTAGCTTCACCCTGACAGGAATCGGCAGCTTTCGTGATAGTTCTTTTGGGGCTATTATTAGAGATGAGCATATGCATTAAGTATTACTTGTGTTTTGTATCCATGGTAAGATTCAACGGGCACCTGCGCCAAGGGCACAGTTCCAACCTGCGCAACCGCCGCAGCTTCAGCAACAACCACCCGTTGCTCAGGCACCGCAGCAGCAGCAGCAGTTCCAGCAATCTCCCGCCGCTAACTCGGCTCCACTGCAGCAGCACCAGTATCAGCAGCCTCTTCGCCAGGCAGTGCCATTGCCAGTGAGCTCTGTGCCGACTGGAGCAGGGGCAGGTCAGGGAGCGATTACTAGTTTCGCGGGAATTCGCCAGAATATCCCTCCGCAGGGATCACAACCCATCAATTCCCAACCGATTCGTGCGCAACCATTGCAGGCACAAGCGCAACCTCCATCGCAATTGCGACGACTCGACAGCCACGGTTCGCTGGTGGTCAATCCAGCAGCACCAGTTGTTCAAAGCCAAGGCCCACCTCAACAACAACCAGGCCTCACGGGTCCGTACCCAAGGCCCATCAATCCCCAGGCGCCTGTTCAGATTGTGAGACCACCACCTCAGCCGGGTTTGGTGCAGAGACCACCAAACTATCCGCCCAACACCGTTCCAGGCCAAGTGCCTCAAGTGCCTAGGCCTCAGCCACCGATTCAGGCGCCCTTGAACAGGGCTCAATTTCCTCAGCAACCAAGACCTCAGTTTATTCGTCAGCCCGGAGTTCAAGCACCTGTTCCAATCCCACGTCCGGGTTTCGTAGGCCAACCGCCGCGCCCAGTTCAGCCTCCGCTGAGACAACCTGCTCTTTATCCTCAGAATCCAGTGCCGTCGACAATGGCCTCTGAAGTTGTGGCCCCACCGAAGGTGCCGGAAAATTCAGCTTCTCACTTCCAGGCAAGTCACAATGACGACGATGACGTGGTGATGGGTCGCATGCAAACGCCCTCCTATTCGCCAGTCCCTCCGGTACAATCACGTCCACCCACAAGCAACATCGTCACAGGCATACAAAACAACAATCCTGCAGTTGCTCCCGTTACGACAACCTTTGGCAAACTCTCTGATAATATGTCTAAGTCACCATCACCTCAGCCTACGCAGATGACATTCCAGCAAATGCCAGTGCAGAAGAGCGACAGTCAGCGCTCAATTCCGTCCCGGCCACCTTCAGTGATTGAGAATGTAAAGCCATCCCTTCCGGAAGCTAATGGAATGCCACCTAAGCCTACAGTCCCGTACACAAACTCAGCTGCACCCATTCGATCAATGAATCCAGAGGTTCAGGCCAGGCCGAAGCCTCAAGATGCTGTTCCAACTCCTGCCGCACGACCGAATCCTCCTGTACCTAATGCCAGACCTCCGTTTGAGCCCACAATGCAGAAACCACTTCACACTCCTCAGTCTTCAGTGGAAGATACCACCGAATACGCTTCGGGACCAATGTACAAGACAGCACCTCAAGTGCCCTACAAGGAGAGTCCTCGTCCGCCAGCGACTCAACCAATTGCTACTGCGAAACCCGAACCAGTGAGACAACCACCACCACCAGCGCAGCGGTCCGAAAGAGAGAGCATCTCGACGCGAGGAAGACCTTCGATCCCGGACAGTCAGTCTGTTGCTAGGAAGCCTCCTAGTTCTCTGGGTCGAATGCCGTCCAGTAAGATAGCACATTGTTTCATAGATAGCGTGAAAGTGAAAATTGAGTAGAAATTCCTAAATATTCATCTGTGATTATATAAAATTTATGCAATGCTTTTCGTAGTTCTAAAATGATCATTTTAATGATTTTTCCAGAGGGAGACAACGACAGTGGCGTGGATGAGTCGACACAAGGCAATGTAAGTTCAAAATCAGTATTTTATTCATATATTTTTAAATAAAATCTAAACTCATTTAGACAATAAAAATTTAAAGTTGCATCAAGCTTAAAATATGTGATTTAAAGTGATTTTTTTTATCAAAAAATTTCCATTGGAAAACACGATGTGTATACTCTTCTTCAGAAGTTGAGTAATAATTTTGCGAGAGCTCTTAATCGTCTCTCAATACATAATAATTTTATGATAGTCAATTCAATTGTCATACTATTTGAATTATTTTCCGCTCGACAGATTTTTTGCCATATGAATAGTTGAGAGTGAATATTTGCAAATCAGTTGCAGTCGCGATTCGGTGCTCTCAAGATCCCGATCCAAATTAAATGTATAAGAGGAAGAGACCCAAGATAATCAAGCATAGAGTTAAATTTAATCTGCGGAAGGTTACTGGTTATGCTGAAAGTGAAACAGTTCAAATTGTGATATTAGTGAACTGACATTCTCTGTATGTTTTGGATTTAGGAACGCAACGGACCCGGATCTCCTGGCTCACCAGTAAAGTCCTCAAGTAAGATTCCCGGACTCTCCCGTCCTGCCAGCACTACGCCCTCCATTAAGTCGCGCAGCACTTCGAAATCTCGCTTGACCGACAAGACACCGGAAACCGCGGATCCACCCGTGAAAAAAGGTATTGATCTGTAATTTATGCAATCTCTTGTTAGTTGTTACCGTGTTTGTCTTGTCTCGCGTCTTGGAGCAGTTCCAATGAATAAGGTCCAAGTCGGAGGGGCGCCTTCACCAAACCTCAAAGCTGTCAAGTCAAAGATCGGCTCCTTGGAGAATGCGACTCACAAGCCGGGCGGCGGCAGGGTGAAGATCGAGTCCAAGAAGATTGAGATCAAGGCTGGGCCACGGATTGCCGCGAAGAACGACGCATACGTGCCCGGCGGAGGAGACAAGAAGGTAAAGAAACAAAAAAAAACTGATCATGACCTCAAAACGTGTGCTGCCAATAAGCTGGAAGAATGTCAATTTCCTCCAAGCCCCCAAAATCGAATAAACTCATTACTAGATGATCACAATACTCTTCGTCAGGGGCATCGAACTATGAAATTGAGCATTATTTATTCCCCATCTAGTCATTACCAATGCTCCCCGTGAATTAAAGTGACGCACAATCAGCGGTTTCTTCCTGTTCTGTCGTGTTGTGAAGGCATTCCTTTTCAATTCAGTTGGAGCAATTTATCGATTTTGTGCTCATTGAATGTGGCTGAAAATCATAATTCATATTTTTGTCATTTCAAGAGATTCATCGATTGTATAGTGTGAGAAGCAATAAATTGACGTGGAATTGTAAATCAAACAGAAAATTAAATGCTAATAATAGTCAAACATTTAAAATATATTGCTCAGCGAGATATTTCACTGCATTCTGTGATTTATTATATAAATCATTCAAAACTATTTTAGGGTGTTGATTACATTTGAAATCGTATGAGAAAAATTTAATAATATTGCAGCACCTGCATCACTATTTCTTGAACGTATCTGTCTTTCCTTATTGATTCTCATTTATAGTGAAGCGGATTGAAATAACGACACCAGCTGATAACGATTCGGAGTTATCAGCTGCAGATAGAGACGTCACTGATCGATGCTTTCTCGAGTTACAGATTGTCCAGAATAAATTGCAGTGGCAGGCAAAGTCCAAGATTGGATCGCTGGACAACGCTCACCACAAGCCTGGCGGTGGCGACAAGAAGATTGAGTCCCAGAAGGTGGACTTCAAGGGCAAGGCCAAGGTGGGCTCCAAGGACTACATCAAGCACGTTCCTGGCGGCGGAGACGTGAAGGTAAGCTGGTCCCGAAATCCCCGTCCTGGATGCCCGCATGCAAATTCCAGAAATGAGAACGGAATGGAGCATGCTGAGTATTTCTTTGGTCTGCCGTAAAAAAAGTCGTGCGTAGATTATCGTGAGATGATGACTGTGGGACTTTGAAGATGCGCGGCGGGAGCAAAAAGGAGCCGTGGCGGGACAGATCCTCGTGCTAGAGGAGACCATCCACATGGAATCACTTTATGCCGTGACCAGGAATCGAACCTGGGCTTTCTCGGCCACAACGAGATGTCATGACCACTAGACGATCACGGCCAGCTGAGCTCCACACGAGTCAGTGTCCGGCAACAGTGGTCGAGTTAATTGACCATCGACCGGCGGCGAGTCGTGAGAGAGAAAGAAAAAGAAAGAAAGAAAGGCGAAAAAGCTGGAGTAAGCGATTATTGGGGCTCAGCCAAAGTCTCCACAGTCATCGCATCGTATTTAGTCTGTTATTACCTCTTCTGCCCTGCCGCCAAGCCCGACTTTTGGGTGATATTTGATGCGCTGGAAACAGTGAACGGAATGTGCATGATCGTGGCTGAAGACAGTGAGATGGCAGTTATTCAGATCAATTGTGCTCGCATTGTGATCGTGTTTTATCTCGCTGACAAATATTTTATTCTCTCCAAATGATACTACATAGAGATGATAATATTTTTTGCTATCTTTATATTAGTTCGTCCCTCCTTCGTTCACTTTCCTTTCCAATGGTTGATGCTAATTTATTTCTTATATATCCCAATAATTGATGTGCAGATTGCTAATGAAGAATATGATGATGAAGATGAAAGTGTAAGTATTTTTGTAGAGGTTTTTTGCGTGACAATGGTGATATTTTTTGAGAGAGAAAGAACGAGAGAAAGCTTGTGATCTTGCTAGGATGCGAGGACTTTTGCACAAAATGTCTTTCGATGGCAGCTTCTGTAGTATTCCATGGCTAAAACTTTCTACAAATTTTTCACCTTTTGTAGTATATTTTATCTGAAAATTATATGTATATCTTCTTTCGTATCTATCGGAATGCTTTCCTCCATTTACATATATCTAAATTGATAATTTTAGGTAGTGTTAAGTATTTAATTCATCATAATACAAAAGGAAATATGTTTTGAAATAATGTACACCGATTTCTGACAACAAGGGGTATTTGTCTTACAACTGTTTTCAAAGTAATCTGCAATTATCAGTCACAATTACATACTTCTGAACGAATGGCTCTAATAAATTGAGAGAATTTATCAAAATATGCAAGATTTTCAGTCTGTTTGGAATATTGTGTGAAGTAGAGTAAATTTTCGGCAAGAAATGTATGTAATTGTGACTTTACATAAGTGAATTTTGGCACATATTTTCATTCTAGATAAATGCCCCTTGAATTTTGATCAATTTTCAAATGCTTCCCTCCTAACATTTCCATTCGCTTTTCAGATCCAAACTCACAAGGTGGAAGTGAAGGCTCAGAGCAAGATAGGATCGCTGGACAACATGAAGCACAAGCCAGGCGGTGGTGATAAGAAAATCTTCGACGACAAGGATTACTTGAGGAGCATTGAACATCCCATCACTCCAGCTTCACCGACTCAGGTAAAAGACGAATGTGACCAATAAATTGTCGCATTTCCTTCTTTCTATTACCACAAATTGTCCTCAAGTCTTTCCCCAACACGGAGAAAAGATTGACATTTTTTTCTGAGTGAACACCAAACACACGAAATTAATGCCTCCCAAATCCAAAGTAATAATCTTTTTTGGGACAGTTCGAGATTGTAGTTAGAATGTAAAAGAACGTATAATTAACGATGGACGAGCGCAATTGTGACTTTTTGTATTTGGAATGGCTGTTTTGGCTGAGAAAACACATACACTTTTTTCTGAGAACTACAAAGTAATATATTCTAATAATTGTAATACTGTAAGATCTGTAAGCATAAATTGACATTCATATTTGTAATATTTAGTGTACTACACCATTAACTTTTCTTTCTTCTTTTTATCCCTTTTATTGAGTATATTGTGAGAAGAAGCCACCACTTTTTGCCTCTATGTTAACGTTGAATTGTATTGGTTTTAGGACTATGTGTACACTTTTTACTAAATTTGGTAAAAGACTAAAAACAAGCGCAAAATGTTGATTAGTTAAAACTCTATTGAATTCCACACGCTGTAATGAATAGTACATGAAATAATTATTGGGAATTAGGTGAGAAATTCGTTGGTTTTTCACGTTTTTTGGTTTGTGATTTGATTCAAGACTATTTTTTTTTGCTAATCAATTAATTTTCTGTGTTGGACAATTTTGATCTTTCTCTGCTTTATTGAATATTTTGTACAATATTATATGTTTGAACATTTTTATTAATTATTCACACTTGCACGATATTCACAGAGTCCAGAACCCAATGATGCGTCCCCTTTTGCAGATGATATTTTGAGCAATCAGGAGTGAATTTTTTTTTTAATTAACATCCCAATAGAAATTTCTACAATTTTTACTCTTTCCCATAATAAATATATATATTTTGTTTTATGCTTTAATTTGATTGCATTTTGATTTGGATCCCCATGTGTTAATTTAATGGCAAGCGTTAACCAAAAGAAGTACGAGATATGGAGGAGGAGATGATAATATAATTTGTAATAATCATATAGTGTTAGTTCTATTTAATTGAAAATTAGGGTAATGGATGGCGTAAAAAAAAGAGCAGAGAAAAATGAAGAGGGAAAATGAGCGTTTCATGTATGGAGGGTAATTTAAGACATGATAGCAATTAATTGCTTCGTTTTCTATTAGAATTAATCAATTAACCCGTAATTGAATTAACAGCAAAGAATACCGCCTTTAGTATGGAAGAAATTTTGTGGACACGGTTTTTGGACAAAATATCTTTGAGAGCTGATACTGCTAGTCACTTTTATTGCATGAAGTTTGTACTTTATATTATTATTTATCATTTAAATTATAGCATATAATTTCATATTATACTTCTCCTTTATATTGCATTTCTGTTTATTTAGAAATTCATATTCTTTTTCCTTCATTCATCTTTGTAGAGCACTGTACGGGTTCGTTAAAGCAAAACTTGTAGAGACGAAATAAAAGATAAAAGGCACAATTTTCTTTCCTTCTCAAATTGTTGCTTTACATGTCACAATGCGTATATTTTCCTGCTTTTGCTGGAGATCATACTTATGAAAAGGAATTTCTGCAAAACAAAACATCAATGAATTGGTTATAAATGAATCAATATAACATTGTACACCATTTTGAAGTAGTTGAAAAGAGAGAAAAAAAATATTTAGCATTAATTGAAAGTGTATTTTATAAAATGACCATTGTAAGAGTATAATTAAACGTTATTTTCACACTTTGATTCAACCATAGGTTACACTTATATATTAGACATCATTCAGCAGTTATTATAAACATGAAATCTTTAATACTGTAGCAGCATGTTATCAAAAAAAAGAAGTAATACAACTAAGTAACACAAATTGCAGAAAATAAATCACGTAATAAAGTTTTTTCTTAGAATTAATCTGTGAAAATATTGCTATACTATTTACCACTCAAAGAAAGAATATAATAAAGATGAAATTGTTTTTAAATGTAGCAATTGGATATTTTCTCCTTATTTTTTCGCCTCTGGGGCTTTTTTTCTGTTGAACTTTTGCAGCAGAGCTTCGCCACTTTCTCTCAGCTTTTAATACATTACCCATCCTCACTCTCTAGGAAGCCAAATTGGACATTTCCCACACGCATCGCTTTCCCGTGCAAAATTGGATTAGGCCGTGAGGCAAAGTACCCACGAAAAATGGTTTGTAGTGGTATTTCTTCCATATCCCGGCATTTCTTCGCATTCCGAATCCCTCAAAAGTCTCCCTGCACGTCGGATTCTATTGATTTTTGACGGTTGTTTGTATATATGTTCGTCTTTCGGAAGTGGCGTGACTTGGTGAATATTTCTTTTGTATTCCCGTGAAGAAGTCAAATGGAAAAGGGGAGACTTTTCCACTCAAATATTTTCCTTCCCAAAACATTCTCTTTGCATTGATTTCTTTTCTGCCTTCTCATTTGTCACACTTGTCGTCAAATTGATGGCTCAATCAATTCATTTTGCCGACAAACAGTTCGAAGACCATTCACGAAATGATAGTAAATTAAGTTGCAAAGTGAAGAAATGCACAAATGGGGAATTTTCAGCACACCTTCCGGAATTTTATTTTGACTCCTCGACTGATGGGATAATATTTTGATTTCTTAGATTAAATCATAAGCAAAATTCGCATTAAGTTTTAACCAGCCTCCTTATGAAGGTATAGAAGCATAAGTTATTGTTGAAAGACATCATTAAAATCTCTTCAGAACTACAACTGTGATAAAAGTAGTCTAAAACTGAAAGATCTTTTCATTTCAAACATTCAAAATTTTTTATTTTCACTCTCCTCACCATTTCTTTAATTTTGTAGTTCAAATTTTTCAATGTATCAAAGTAGCAATTTTGCAAAAATCTTCTCTGAAGCACTGAATTTTGCTTAGTCGCTGAAATCGCTTCCTTGTCAATTGGGCCAGGTTTTCACTCTTGAGACTCGTATTTCTTAGCGCCTAGCCCGAGTGTTTGCGCCATTTGTCACGTAAATCTGCAGACGTTGGAGCACGCTGAGTCGCGCAAGTCCATTTCAGACGCTCAGCTCTTCGACTCAATTGCACTAATTCGATGAGATCTTGTGTTGCAGCCCTGGCGCTCCACCAGCTTGTCCGCCTCGATGTCCCTGCCGGCCGAGTGCCTGGTGCTGTCCGTCACGGCCGGCTCATCCTATCCACCCGATGGGTCCTTGCCGCAGCGGCGCCAACGCTCCGCCAAGTCCGGGCGCGCCGTGCATCCGCGGCCGTTCCGAGCTTTCTGAGCAACTCAACTTTTCCACACAGTCAAGATAACGATTTAAAGCGCACGATTTCGGCACCAACGAGGGGTGTTATCAGTATTCAATTGGAGGAGTAGAACCCCTCGGGCACGAGAGAACTCTATTTTCGGTAGACGCACCTGAAGGATCAAAAACGTAACGAGAGGATTGAACGACTTTTGCCGTGTGAAAAAGTCGGAATCAATATTTTCTTGGATCAAGAGGCGATCACAAATGCTTAAAATCTCATCGAGAAAATTCCTCTTTCGCCCACTTTACTGTGAAGTGACACGAAAAAGGTAAACAATCACTTTTACTTTCAGTTTGACTTTTCAGAACCACCTTTTTGAAGGACTCTGGGTGGAAAATGTGATAAATCTTCAACACATTCCGTCCAGCAACAGTATCATTCCGGAGCAACTTTTCAAAGAATTATCTTGATTTTGTTATTAATATTTTTCTTTTATTTATTATATTGTTTCACCTTTAAATAATAATTTAAAATCTAAATTCAATAAATGACACAGAGAATTATTTTATCCAAAAATTCAGAAAATAGTTATATGGCTTGTCACTGAGAAACAAATATTCATTTTTAAAAAGAAAACTATTATGATGTGTAATTAAGAGATAAACTTACAAATGACATAATTTCTTGTGTGTGATTACAATTGTTATAGTTTGTTGATTAATAAAATTAATATCACCGGATTAACTATATTCTTTTCTGTCGGTTCTCTCTCTCTCTCTCTCTCCCACTTCTATTTTGCTCTTTCGCCTCCCGTCCTCACAAAAAATGCTCGCTGTAATCATATAAATTGACATTATTTGTTCTTTGATGATTTCATCAGTTTTTTGCTTCATTTGGGATATTTTTGTTCTCTCACTCTCTCTCTCTCTCTCTCTCTCTCTGTTTCTAAAATATTTCCGTAAAGATGCTTCTCTTGCAAGAAAAATAATCTATATGTTTACTCTTTTAGACTTTATACTGTGACTAGACTATTGGGGGGAGGGGAAGGAGTAAGAAATGTTACATTCAATAAAAATACATGGCATCAAAAAAGTGTCCGTATAAAGAGATTCATTTGATTATTTCTGTGCTTCTTTTGTTCTTCACTAAAAATATAGGTGCTTTGGTAGTTTTTCGTCATTTTTTTCATCCTCTTATCGCGAGTAAGAAAAGAAACCAAGAGAGACAATAATAATTGTATACAGTTTTTTTTCAGTTACTTTTGCATGTCGATTTTTTTCCCACCAAATATTCTCTCCAATATAGTTTGCTTTACAGTAAAATCTTTCAGATAAAATTTTGGTTATTTCTCAAATTATCTTCCATACATTTTCTACGTCTATATTATTTTTCTTCATTTATAAAGTTTTTTTTGTCAATTTCTTTTACATGTTAGAAGTTATTATGGCTGCTCAACTCAGTCTTCGCACCAAGGAAATCTTAACGATATTCACTGTTATGCTCTACAGTTTCAGCTCATAATCCTGAGCAATAGAGATCAAATAAGATATTTCACAATTTCCTTTGTCCTTTCAATTAAAATTTTACTGGCCTTTATTTTATTTTACTTTATTATACAATTCTACTTCGAATAAGCTCTTGATCGTATTCAAAATTGCTTCAACTGCATAGAACACAGTGAATATCGTTTGAGCTAAAAATACCTCAATAAAAAATGGTTAGTCTTCATAAATGCAAAACGTATTAGAGTTTTCCTATCCATTAGAAAAGGGTAATCTCAACTACAGTTGCCATAGGAAAAAAGCTGCAAAGAGGGATTATGCATTTTCATTTTTTTTTTAATAATTGATATAAAATGTTTGGATATCCTACAGTAAGAGTATTAATAAATTAGTCACGAAGAAAACAGTATTTTTTTTCCTTAACATCTTTGTTAAATTGTCAATCAGTTCTTTTTCTTCACTAAGATTTAAAAAAAAAATGATTATGAGATTCAAATTACTTTGAAAAAAGTTTCAGAATCAATCTAAAAATAACTCTCCCTTAATTGTCATGCCTAAAATACATCCTTCAAAATTTTATGGCACTCTTTCACTGCTTCAGAAGGTGGAAAAAGTTATAGGTCGTACAATAAAACTGTTGATATCGTTGCTATAGTCTAGAGATGCCCAAGATGGAACTAAAATTGACACAGTGACGGTCGCAATTCAATTGTAAAATGCGCTTCTTGGGGAGCTCTGGCGAAGTTGAGTTGCTTCTCATGTAAATTTGGATTAAATTTCATCTTAATGTTCCTCTCTCTCTTACTCTGGCTTTTTACATAACAACACATTTTCGTTGGCGTCGCTTCAGTGGCTCCGGCCTTAGAACAGCTCGAACCGCCTCATCGAATACCTAAAATGACGATACATCGTCATGACGAGAGAAGGAAATTAATATTGCCCCGAATGCTGACGACATGTGATATTTAAGGGGGACAATTTTGGGTGAAATGTGTCCCGATTTTTATAGAGATTCATATCACCTGTTTGAGGCCTCGCTGAGTGAGTGCAGAGCACTCCATGTACTTGACGGCCCTCACTTTGTTGGCCAGCTTCTGGCCCTGTTCCCGCTTCAGCGGCGACAATCCCTGCTCAGCCAGGCACGTGAGCGTCTCCCGGTCGTCCCGCAGGTCGATTTTGGTCCCCACGAGGATCATGGGCGCATCTGGGCAGTGATGCTTGATTTCCGGATACCACTTGGACGTGACGTTCTCGAAGGAGGAGGGACTGGCAACGCTGAAGCATATCAGAAACACGTCGGTCTGCGGGTAGGACAGCGGCCGCAGCCGGTCGTAGTCCTCCTGGCCCGCCGTGTCCCACAGGCCCAGTGACACCTGAATCCCGTCCACCACCATTGGCGCTGAGTAGTTGTCGAAGCTGCAAGACAGAGCGAAGAGAGGCGTAAGAATCGATTGCTACCCAAGTAACATAATACGACTGATCAATTAGTATCACACGCAGTGAATTATGTTACTGACAAACTTCCAGTCTCTGCAGCCATAATAAAAACATCTTATTATGCCTCTTGATTGAAATTACAGAGAAAGCAAGGTTTTTATGAAGTGATTTCGATTAATTCACCCAGATAGTCGAACTTCAATTAATACTTTTCTTTCCCTTTCTGGAAATTATTAATTTCTCACGTCGCTTGTGTATCGAAAAACCATCGCGTCAGCGTGTGATTTTTGCCTTCATTTGGTATTCTCACGGAGTCTTGTGAGGTTGTCTTTAAGGTGGGGCCTCACAGCGGAGGAAATCGCGCTATTAGCGCTTACAAATCTCTATCTTCATCACGTTGTGTCTCTCATTCTGCAACAGATTGCTCACTTCGTCACTCGGGCAGAAGCCATGGGTTTGTCATGATCTGTCCGTGATTTTGGGGTGGTTCAATACTCACACGGTGGGAACATATTCGCCCGGAAAGCTGTCCGTGGTGTATGAGATGAGCATGCAGGTCTTCCCAACGGTTCCATCGCCGACAACAACACACTTGATCGGTCGTCCGGATGACATCTGCGGAGACAAAGAGAGACACCCGTGAGAACTCTGGGCTTGTCCCATTAGTCACTCCATCGGGCAGCGCCGCGACGCTCTCACTCGCGTCGTGAGTGCCACAAATAGCCCAGGCGGCCCATCGAGAGTGCACTTTCCGCTGGAAAGCGCCCACCGCGGAGCCGCAAGTCTTCCGGCCTGCGAGGTGTGACACGATAACAGTTGTGGCCTCAGCAGACAGCCTTCGGTCGCTTTCTCGTGCACACCACAATCGGCAGAGGAGACACTCGAGGCAATTAAGAGCAATTAATTGTGAAATGGTGGAAAATGAGAAGGGTTCAGCCGAGAGTTGGTCGCCCCATTCCCGAGGCGCTCCTCCTTCGCACTCCATCACACCAAATGCCGCAGACATTAACATTCCATCCCGATCACTTACGCTTTTCACGAATATGCCACTCGATGAACACACAGTGAGGTATTGCCGTGAGAAAGGTGAGGTGAAAAACAGTGAAATATCTTGCTCAGTATAAAAGAAATAAAAACCGCTTCACTCCACAAATAAAATCTCACTGACACAACACCCCGAACGTCACAGAGTGTTATACAGTGTGAAGTGAGTTGCATATGGCAATATACAGTAGCACAGTCGCGATATATCGGTGTTTTGAATTGTAACGACTCGCTTAACATTTTTCTCGCTTCTCTGAGAAATCGTTATTACCACTGCGATAAGTCGTAATTGCAGGAACGAATGACTGCGTAGACTTTTATTGATACACAGTGCAATTAACTCTGATTATTTAAAAATCAGAATGCAGATTTTAACATTTTTGGTACATTTCATTTGACATATTTTTGAATGAGTTCGTTAAAAATCTTATCAGTTCTGTGCTTTGGAAAATTCTTGTTTTTTTTGTGAACACAGTTTCTGTGGCAAGAAATGTATGAACGAAAAGGGAAAGCAGCTCTTTAATGTTATTGTTAAATTTGTGTTATCAACGTCTATAAACATTCTCTGTATGTCTAATTTTTCACTAACGCTTTATCGCTTTCTCAGGACTTATCAGAGAGCTCTGCAGATAAGGAAACTCCAAGTCTTTTATCAGGGAATTAAGTCTCCGAAAAGCCTCCACGTGATACCCCACGCAGAAATGCTCTGCGGACCTGCGAGATTCAGTCTTCCCGTGCTGCAATCATCTGTTTCTGGCTCGCGATGGCGATAAAAGTGGGAGTTCGATATGAAATTTGACACGGCCCAGTGCACAAATCCAGACAATTGTGCAATGATAACGTATCAGTGTGACAGCATTTTCCATTGCGTCGAAAAATCAAGCGAGAGAGTTCAATCCACCCAGAGAGAAGGCTTTTTTTTATTGTGTAAATTTAGCTTCGCGCGCGACTTTCGGAGGCGCTGAAAACAGCTCAGAATATTTGATGTCTTGAGAAAGTTGATCGTGAGAATTTCAGTCGCAGATCAAAATACAATTTCACACACTTTAAACATATCCATACGAGATTAACCTCCCATTTCGCGTTGATACACACTGTGCGAAATTCGAAACTGACAACAAAGAGGATCGGAGCATTTCTCACAATGACATCTCTTTTCGCCTTGATGGATTTTTATCAGTGGCTGGAAAATTTTATACTCTATATGAGCTCATAAAGGAAGATTTTTGGCACTGTTTTCAATGCTGTCGACTTTGATCAAGAGTTCCACTTCTGCAATTTAGTCTTAGCAATTATCAGTTACTATAAAATTGCCAAAGCTCTTGAAAATCTGCATGATGGCGTGAATATGCTGATGGAAATGCTATTTTGGCATTTTTCCTGGGTTATTTTAAGATTCACTGAATTATCGTGAATAATAAAAGAGCTAAGATAATTTCTTTTACCCTTTAACTCTGTAATTTTACTCTAAAACTTTATACAAAACGAACATGGAGAGACAGCATTTCAGTCCTTGCGGAGGACTACACAAGCTCCAAAGTTGAGGACGAATAAATTTGGTCCATCTTGAGAATAAATCCGGAAAGGAGTGGGTGGGGCGCTGGACCAAGTGAAAAATGCGAAGGGAAATTAGTTGAAAGTGGAGGATAAATGCGCAGCTTTGGGGTGCGCTTCGGCGGAAAGCTCTCGCCTCGGGTGGGGGCCGCAAGGCATTATTTAGGTGGGACCACGAGCACGTGTTGGAGAGAAAAGGGGAGTCCAGGCGTCGCCGAGAAGGTGAGTTGCTCAGGGTGGGAAAGAGACCGAAGCTCTGACGGCTCAAAAGGCCGCGCCGCCAATAAAACAAAGCGGGAGCTTTTTGCCAGTCCAATTTTGGAGTGGGTGGCTGGGAGGTTTTCCAGGGCTGCTCCTCTTGCGCCGCAAAGGGGGATGATGATGGCCCCCCGACCACGTCGATTCCTGCGCGCTGCGAGAGGTTTCCCGGAAAAAGTGAAGGAAATTTATCGTTTGGACATATTTCTAATTGATTTAAGATTTTTGTTGCGAAATTTATCTCTTCTCCCCTCGGTACTCATCGCTAAATGGCACAGGATGAGTGATTTGTAGCCCTCCAGTGGCCGTTAGACCAATTTTCCCGATGGCTGAATTTTCACCACAATAAATTCTCCATGGCTATTTGCTAATGGAGGAAAAAAATCCACACATTCAAAAGAACTCATTAAGTGATATTGAAGAGAATCCTCATAACATTCTATGGATGAATCATTAGGCCAATTTCGGACATAATGGCTAGGAGTTAGTGGGAAAGGAATTGCACAATTTAATAAAGTAACACACCGGAAAACTTTCTGTCATTAGACAATCTCTTACAAATTCCTGCTGATGATGACGCTTTTATGCACACAGAGTGCAAACACAATTTCTCACCATCCCAGAAGAAGACATTCTGCAATCGACCGTCTTCACGGCGAGTGCCGAGAAACTTTATCGAAACGAGGAAAATTTATTACAGGAGAAAACTTTATGAAAAGAATGGTGAGATATTTAGAAACAAATTACACACTCTTTCGACTTGTGTCTGCGCAATAAATTTCCCAATCTCACCCCCGCGCGGTCAAAGTGTCGAGGAGAAAAGGTGATTTGGCCACATAGAGAAGAACATTCGAGGAGCAACTTTCGTCCAAGCGGTGCGGGAGAAAATACTCGAAATTACCATCTGATTGATTGATTGACTGCTATTCATACTCAGCTTCTTACTTCGCCACTCTGCGAAAAGTCCCCACAATAAGCGGGGCATCTTATCGAACTTGAGCATATTGCTGAGAAATTTTTGGGCAAATAATCTCGAGACTGTATGGTAATTGACACAGAAAATATTTGACTTTTTGTCCAAAGAGACAAGTGGAAGACTAATTTGACTGATAGTGAGTGAGCTTCTTGACTCCAGGAAAAATTTCGGTGTGTGCACTTGAAAGACGTCAGATTCGCAATAAAAATATTTATTGCGCTAAGGAAAAGTCTTGTTCTCCACCCAATTCAATTAAATCATGCCTAAATTATTAATTCACTCTAGTTTCTTATGCATAATATTTGTATTTCATGAGTTATGTAAAAACAATTGTATTTTGTTTATTGTATTTTTGTTATTTTGTATTTGTATCTTTTTCCACTCGTAATATGTTTATTGGGATCACATTGTAGAGGACTTTTCAATAAATTCGCGAGAAAAAAACCCATTAAAAGATAATTATACTGCGCCAAAATCTTTATGAAGTGTAATTTAAGCTTTTCTTAAAGCCGAATATAAAACGTTTTACGTGTAAACTGGTTTGATCTGACTCTCACTTTTATCAGGTGATTTTTGTTATTTTTTGCATTCCCTTAATTATATTTTTTCAAGTATTCTTTAGACACTCATGTAAGAAATCATATGTAATGAGATGAGTTTAGAGAGACAATTTTGCGCCGTATAATATAAAATATTATATTGTTATTTTTGAGAGAGAGAAATGTTTGCCAAATTAAACGCATAAACATGTCTAATGCTCGCAATTCACTTTTGTAATCATTTCAAGTGTGTGAGTCGTCAAATTGGCGTGAATGTGCAGAACTGTGTAAGTGATAATTGTAGACAAAGTTTTACATTTTTTCTTGTATCTTAATTATTGGGTGGAATCTTGAATAACCACCTTTTCTGCACCACTGAAATCGAGCGGAATAAAAAAAGGGCCTGAAAGATAACAAGCTCCTATTGGAGGAACTAAGCAAGCATAGCACAAATTATGTTACATTTCAAGGTCCAAATCCATGTTTTCCCACTCATATTGCAATAATATATGTGGTGCAAGCAGAGCTGTAATGTGTCGCTATTATTATGTCAAGAGGGTCATGGCAATGCGCAAAAACAGTATTTCGAGAGAGTGTGTGTGGCAAAAACCTTATCTAACTTCTCCTTGTGTCGTTCATCCTGATGATTAGAAATTTTTCTCGCGGTGAGACCTTGAAGGCGGAAAGTGTGGGGCTTGTCTTGCTGAAATGTCAGCGAAACACGCGCGTCTTCGCCAGCGGAAGACCTACAAATATGTGCCAGAGTTCCTCCACACCATCAGGAGAGCTTCTCGGATTCTCTGGCTACCACGTGGCTTGATGTTGTGTGCGATATTTACTCCGTAGTGGAAACTGTGTTCTACAACAAATTTGTTTACAAAACATTGCGCGTAAAATTTACGTCGCGAATTAATTCAATGACTCTGTCTCTGGCCTATGCCGGGCCCGTCGTGCCTTTCGTCGCGGGCCCGGGCTCGATCAGTGCGGGCTTTTTCCAGTTCAGCCCAAACCGCGGGCCTCGCAGACCAGCGAGTGGAGACGCAGGCAAATGATGGAGAGATGTTACATAGACTCCCGCTGTATATAAGGCGCGAGCATACATCGCCTACGGAAAATCCAATTTTCTAGTGCGCACATATTCGACGCAATACGACTGTGTTGCGAACCAATCGGCGCCACGGTGCCACAGGATAGCCGCCGATGATGAGGAGAGACAGAGAGAGGCCACAAGGTGGTGAACAGGGACGATGGAATTCGACGAGGACGACAGCATTTGCAGCCCTTGACACGGGCTCTTCCTCAGCCTCAGACGTGGCGTGTCCTCAGTCGCGATATCACTGCTCTCCGGTGAATATCTTATCGCTGCGGAGCCGCTTATCGGCGCAATAATCGAATTCAACCGATCGCAACTCAATTGTCTGACCAGTGCGGGCGAGAAAATAGAGTGAACTTTGTCCACTTCCATGGCATTTCCCACATTTTTCCACCGCACTTCACTATCTTCCACTCCTCAACAGATGAGTGTTTCGCATTTGCGATAGGTAAAATAAAAGTAAAACCCTGGGAACGAAGGTGTGACTCTTCGCGGAGTGTTCGACTGTAAAATAAATCATTTTTGTTAAAAAAAAAAAAATCCCGCCGATAAACTGATTTTTTGAAATTATGGTACAATTTCAGTCAATTGTTCATCACATGTGATCGTTTTATGCAATTCAAACAATTAAAAGAGCACATAAAAAAAATTCACTCCTAATTATTATTATTTCTAAAACAAATGACAATTGACTAAGAAAATTTAAAAGTTCAACAGTAAAAAAGAAAAGTCTTAAAATGATATAAAGATTTTCTTTCTTATTCCGATTTTTGTAATCACATCAGTTAATAAAGTTTTCACAGAAAGTCATGATTCCTTGATTACTAATTAAAAAGTTAAGTATTAAATGAATGCAAAGTGAAGATAAGAAAAGTAATTGGTTTTTTATTGCGGTTTCAATTTTTTAAAGCACCTTTCTGTAAACGAAGAAATAAAATGTGACTCATTTTTTTAGGTTTAAGTCGCTTAACTTGCCAAAATGAATGGTCGGAGCAGCGCAGAATGTTTGAATTATACGGTGAGAAAATTGTCGTACATTTAAAATGGTAAATTGGTGGGTCTGTAGCAAAAATTTTTGGAGTCACTTCCTCTTCGCGCAGACACTTTCTACGCGAACTTTGCCACTCTTTGTGCCCAGTGAAAAAAAAATCAATCAAGAGTCCAAAATCCAAGAAAGATAAAATCCAAATGCGAGAAGTCAGTCAGGCACAGATATGAATATGTAATTTTTCATCAATTCACACACTGATTTGAATTGGAAGATATGCAATTTGTGGGTTATCGTCATACTCACTGACTCTGCTGGTCTGAAATACGCAAATTCAGTCATCATTCAGATTGCAAATGATCCACTTCAACTGATATTGACATTTGATATTAGGAATGTGCGTAATTTCTCGGTCATTTCGACTTTTAGCCTCAAGAAGGTGCTCAAGCGACTTTATAGTGGAATATTTGTGTGTATGTTAAATGAATTCGAGGGGCCTTTTGCACGCAGATCGCACGAATTTAGCAATTGTCTCCACACTGATCGTCTTTTGCGTATGAAACTGGCGCCTCGCGAGAGCTTTCGCGTTGACTCAATCAGCGATGATGGAGCTGAAATGTGAAATCCCACGAATTTGAACGGCCGAATTTGTCAATAATCTTCAAAATTGTGTGTATTTGGAATGGTTTTTTTTTTTTGGTCACCCATCTCACTCTGCCTCCCCATTTTGCCATCTTCACTCACACATCCATTATTAATTAATTCAAAATTCCGTCGTCTCTTCTCTTTTATTCTATCAGAAACAATTTGCATCTCATTTACGCCATCATTGAGTATGCAATAAAACTCGATTTTTATGCATGATGTCTCTGTGTGTGGACTTGCCTCCTCTTTTCCACAAAAGCCACAGCGAAGAAAAGAGGTGTGTACTGTGAAGGAATCGCGAGATTTTTTTTCCTCGCATCTCTTTACATTTCTCTGCTGTCCCACAAGTGTGATCTTCTTTCTCACTGTAATTGCAGAAATTACTTTATGAGCGCAGTTCTTCTTCTTTTTTTGCAGGAAAAAAAAGCGAAGACTGAAGAGAGGAGAGGATAAGCAATGGTCGTGGTTTGTTTAACGTGGGGAAATTCTTCGTGATCTGCTTCGAGCCGTGAGGAAGTGTTGGTAATTATTTACAAGCATTCTAGACATGTAAATTTACGGAAAACCTCAATTAGACTTCATCGCACTACAAGACAGATTATTGCTAGATAAGATTGTAATAGGAAATTACACAACACCTCATATATGGATTAATTCTTTATGAAGCCATCCTTATCAAAGGGTTCGTCATTTCAAGACAGATTGATCTAAGAGTAATGTTGATTCGATCTTGCATCACATTTGTCAAAAATTAATTGGAAACGACCAGTCAACTTAGAATATTAGAAGATTTCGTTGCATTCTTTTTAATATGCTCAATTAAATTTATAAACTATTTGCCAAATTTTACAAAATCTGTATTTTATTGAATACTTCAAAATAAAATCAGTAAAGTAGAACTTTATCCTTTATAGAAGTTTAGTGAGGCTTACACAAGTATTTTGGGTTTTTCTTTTACCTAATAATAATGGGTAGTAATAGAGATACAAATGTGTGCAGAATTCATAGCCCCTCGCCAGAGTCAAGGAACACTCAAAGACCGTGCCGACTGGCCGACAAGCTGAGAAGAAAAGGAGTAGATTGTCGGGAATTAAGGGATTGAGTGAGCTTTTTCATCACTCTCGCCATATCTGGCGGTCGTGGTGAAAAATATGGGAAAAATTAACTGACAGTGTATCTCGGCCCATCATTATTAATCAACTGTCCGGAGTGGATGCGATAAGGCTGTGTAATCAAGTCAGTTGGTAGCCGTGGCATGTGGCCTGTGGACGCGATAGATGGGGAGCGGAGAAAAAAGCTCCGATATTTTCCACGCGATCACGTGTACGGAATTGCGAAGATGGAGCTGTGTCGGGTGGGCTGACATGGAAAGCTCCCTCCGCTGGGGGCGCATGGGGAGGCTGCGCGGTGGAGAGCATTGGTTGGAGGGGGATGGCATGAGTGGCTCCAAATTTTCTCCACTCTTTGGCAAGCTCCGCTGATAAATCGTCCGTCTGTGCTGGCATCTCGGATTGGGGGGACTCTTCGGTGTGGAGATTGCTCGGCCCCGCTCCCCATTTACCCGCGCGCACATAATGTACTCGACGCTCCGGGTATATAGAAATGGGGGGCACACGGCTCTGTATGCGCGCAGCGATTCGCTCGCGGTCGCTTGTATGGGAGTTGAGTTGTGTGCGAGCTGTGCTATGCTGTGGCATCACTAAACTGCCCGCTTGGCGATTGCCGTACGATGTGAGACGGGTTTAGTTGTGTGTTCACATCCGGATCGAGAGCAAGTTCGCCTGTACGAAGTTAATTTGCCAAGAAGCCACGAGGTCGCGATTGACCGTGTATTTTTGTCACATTTGCCCGATAGTACGACCCGTGCTCGAAATTGCAAACCAACTGTCCATACCTCAGCGCCGGACGCTAAAGCCAGGATAGATCTTGTGCAACTGTGCGCGTCTTTTCGCGGTGTGTGGAAAAATTGTCGACAGGCGACAAGAGTGTTGCGTCTTGTGGGAAAATTCCTCAAGGAAAAAGTGTGCGAGAGAGAGACGATCGTGCCTCCCCATACTTTTTACTTAATGGTATAGAATAATTTTCTCGTGTACCCTCTTGTGGCGAGAGTCTCATTCGTGAAGTTCAAGTCAGAAAAGCCGAAAAATTTGCCTACAGCCGCACTCGCGCACTGCCTATGCTTCTTTACAATATTGCGAACTAGTGAGTTCTGGTTATTATTATCTCAAACAATATTCGACGCGAGTGTGAATTCAGTGGGGAATATTACCACGGAGGTATATTGGAGACCGCGATTCTTACGCTAAACAGTGATCCTCGGCTAGATTGGACAGACTGTGGCTCTCAGTGGAGCAATGATGCTGAGAAATTGAGGCACCCAATCGACCATTCGAGCCAATTTATTCATTACCCGAGTGCACACAGGGAGTTTGATAAGTGGTTGTACTTCACCATTGCGCGCAGTCATGAGGATCGCGATCGTGGAGTTGAAGCCAGTAACTCGATCGCTGGTTGAAATAAATTTTCATATATTCGCACACACCAGCAGGCCTCCAATGTAGTGGATCTCATGCAATAAAATGTGAAATAATTAACATTTTTCTTCAACCGAAAAAAAAGCTCCAACGACGTGCCACCAACACTGCGATCGTTAGATAAAAGAGCGCCTCTTAATATCGCGTATATCAATTTTTGTGTGCGTTGGCTTCGGTGATCTTCCTCACTGCCTCAGCCCATCTCTGTCACCCTATCAGATCGCCAGCTCTCTTCCTCCGCTCTCTCTCTCAAATAGTGATCGTATTTGATCACGTGTTAATCATTTACATAGCATGGTAGTTGGCGATATCGCGTCTTTTTAGCAATGGCTCTATGGCTAGAATTCTCCTTCACTATCTGTTCGCGTGCCCCCTCGCCCCGGCTCCGCGCTTCTGAATCGCTCTCAAACTACGTCTCAGAATAAATTCAGCACAACTCGTGTGTTTTATATATACAAAAATCCACTTTCATACTTCACACTGACGGAGGGAAATAAATGTACGGCTCTGTGCTCGATCACGGGCTCTGTGTTCTTCCGAGAGGCGCAGAGCACAAAAAAAATCTGCACTCACCACAAATGCACCTTCCATGGCTCTGACCTTATAGAGTGCATTTTTTGGGTTTGCGAGCGCAAAAAAGCGTCTGAGGACGAGTCACGAGCATCCTGCAATTGAGTGGACTCTCAGGTAGAGGCGCCCTAATGGGCCAAATTAGTAGGAGAGACACTCTGCGGTGCATCGAATTGCAATTTTTGTGGAGAGTAGAAAGTTGAGAGAAGTGTTCTTCGTCTCCTCTTCTTCTTCACCTTCAATTACCTCACCTTTTTGCGTGCTCCGCAGGTGTGCCGAACGCCTTCGATTGCTGGCTAAAGATAATTAAGTGGAATTTTGACTACAGACTGAATTCACGAATGACGATCGCACTTCCTTGATCCATAAAACCCTTCTCAACTGCTCCCCAGAGAAGTCCCCTCATAAAAGTGGCCCGTTAAGCAGTGCTCTTAATCGTTTTTTTTGTGATTTTTTGTCCGCAGGAGACAAATCCCAGTTCGTGTGAATAATTAAGGTTCTTTTTTCCGTTGAAACTACAACATCACAGTTCTTAGACAGATATTCTCCGGTGGTGTTCATAAAACAGTAAGACAGTGTTCACAAACGACTAGTCGCATTAAAGAGAAGGTGGTGAATTTTAAGTGTGCGTACTGCAAAACGAGTCCGAGAGAATTTTCCTGCCGACCAAGATAGAGTATTTTAAAGTGGTCCAAAGATAGTCCTCTCGTCTTGGCAGCAAGTGTGCGCGATAAGACAAGAAACTGAGATTAGTGCGGGAGATTAATCCAGTTGATTTACGAGAGATAATTTCGCTGGAGGTTGCCAGTGATTCCGTTGGCGCGGAGTGAGACTTGAGTGCGGATGGATTCATTCGGGTCTATTTGGCCATCGCCGCCGCGAGGCCTCGACGGTGTCTCCAACGACGGCCTGCCGATGGAGACCCTCACGGAGCTGCAGGACGGCAATTTTGAGCCACAGACCAGGGCCAGGTCCAACACTTGGCCGCTGCCGCGCCCAGACAACATCGTCGAGCCCAGCGACGACGCAGAGAGTAACAAGTGCAGCAATCAGCAATTATCTGGAGGTAATATTCTTTACCCGCCTTTTCGGGCGCTCTTGCGTCTCTTGACCCCTGATTTGGGTCCCGAAATGACTGAGGAATGTTAAGAATTTCCCAAAGTGACCGCGAATTTTCAAGTAATTGTGCCGTATTTGACGAGAAACATCACACATTCGCACTTTTGATGATTTTCAAGACAAATCTCTCTGCGGAAGACAGTCTAGAGATGGTAAAGAGCAAGAAACTTCGGTATAAGCGATCAATCATTAGCATAATTTATATTATATTCAAGAGACTTCTGCTTATAGCATTTCACTAATGAGGTTATATTATAGAGAATCACAGTTATCTGCAGAAGTATTTGATTAATCAATCTGACCGAGTGAAGAGTACTTTCAGTGAATATCTCTCCTGAAACCCTCCTGATGAGGAGCCCCTTATGAATTCACTGTTGACTTTAGATACTGTTCGTCCCACAAAATCCGATGACTTATTCAATCCATCGACGCCAGACATGGCGAAAAGCACGCAGGCGCAATATATTCCGGTTTAGCATTTTATTGTGACGACGAAGAAAAAGAACTTTGGATTTTGTCAGAACTTTTATTATTCAAATTTTATACACTGTTGGCTATGACGTCTCTCCCGACATTTATGAGATTTTGATTGAGTATGCACAAGATCGCATTTTATCTCTCCTGAGAGTCCCGTGGGCGTCAACGGAGATCATTCCTGGGATATTGAGCTTCATTGTCGAGTGCTCAAGTGAATTTTAAGTGACAATCGCTGGCGAATAGGATTTATTCTAGAAAATGTACAACACTTGCATGATTGCATTGGAATTGCATAATTTTCTCGGTGTCAAGACAAGAGAATGCGCATTGGCGAGCAATATTTTGCTTTCAAATGAAGATCGCGAGCGTGCATTAAAATGTGGGCTAATCTGTCGTCACTGGACTCGCTTTGGTGGTTTTTGGAGTGGAAGTGGAATTTCCGACATTTTGGACAAAAGTTATGGGTAATCTGTGAGACTGATCGCGGCTCAGAAAGTGCAAAATATGTCAGACATGCTCAAAATATGCACATTTTTAATCCACTTTGTTGAATTTCTGCACAATTTGATAGCTGAGCTCATCCAATTAGCTCTCAAAAAATCGGAGATGGAATAAGCGCCACTTCGCATGGTGGCGTTCGCTGGGAGAGGTAGAGTGAAAAAAGTCTCTAAAATTACCTCAAACAATGCGTTTAATAAATCTCCACCATGGAAAAGCTGAACACGATGGGGAGCAGCATAAAAATCGAGGCACGAATCAAAAAATATTTGATGCGTAAATTTTCAAGTCGTGTTTTTGAGACTCTTGTATATCGGCTCCGTATCTGGTGCGTGCCCCCAGATTTTTTTCTCATGACGTCTTACTGATAACACTCGTGTACAAGTCTCGTATTTTCTGTTGTAACATCTCTCATTCACCGACCATGCTTCTCTCCTCATTTCAATTCAACATTGAAACGCACGCTGATTCGTAATGATGACTGTGATCCTCAATTCCAGCAGCTGGCCAACAAATCACATCCCCAAATGTGGCATCGTCGAAGAAGAACTCTTCGCGGCGCAACGCGTGGGGAAACCTCTCGTACGCCGACTTAATTACCCAGGCCATCAGTTCGGCGTCCGACAATCGTCTTACATTGAGCCAAATATACGAGTGGATGGTGCAGAATGTTCCCTACTTCAAGGACAAGGGCGACTCCAACAGCAGTGCAGGATGGAAGGTGAGCTAAGTCCACAAAATGTTGAACTAGTCAATGAAGTCGATTGTGAAAGGACATTGTTTTCTCGGGCGGAAATCGAGCATTCTTTCAGCGTTAGCATATGAAAAAAGAATAGCATAATATTAAGTTATTGAGCTAGAATTACGTATTTGTTGATTAGAACAAAAAAAATCTCACCTCAATGCGCGTAAGAATACAGTAACCTACGCCAATGAAACAGTGTACTAGTACTAGAGCTTTTTATAGTAGAGATTTTACTATAGTAAAAGTTATTCTTGAACAAGTTCACATGTCTACCAATTAAAATAATATCTTTTCCGCACAGATCACAAATCATTTGAATTGAATTAATTAATTAGCCGCACTACACACATTTTTCGTGAGCGACTCTTGACACTCCATTAATTGGTCACTCGATGAAGTCCATTGTGGAGATTGGCGATCGCAAATCAATCTCGATTTCACAGGCACGACAACTTCTCCGCGAAACGTGTCTGACTGTTGCGTGCCATAAGGTGCGTTTTGTCGTTTTTTTTTGTTCCTCTCAGCCAGGGAATCCATCAAAGTCAGTGGCTAGTTTCATACGCGAACTTTTATTTCAATTACCGCGATATACTCACCGCGTACGCGATCTCCATATGCTCCACGCGAGGCTCTCGCACCTTGGCAAGTTCACTCCCGGTGATGGTGGATTTCTTGGCAGCGCGCAGTCAAAGAGGCGAGGGATTGGTGTGCACGTAGACGGAATGCAGTTTCTATTGCAGGCTCACCTGAGTGATCTACAATTGGCGCAAATGCCGTTTGACTGGCTTTTCAAAATGCCGCAGGTTCGAGATGCCATTTTCGTGATTATTGGCAATTTGTGTGGGCATCGTGGTGCAGCTTTACCGCACGTCTAACTGGTTCCTCTTGCATGCAGCACTTGCCCAGATTCACCACGGCTTTTGCTTGTATTCTGTCGCAGTCGCCAATTTCGGGGGGTCTTCATCAGCGCCTTTTCTCCGGCCATCTGCACATACCGCGGAAAACTCTCGCCCAATCCGTCCAATGTAAGTTGCCGGACATCACATGTCACGAGAGAAGCCCTTGCTGAGCCTCTCAAATGCGTGATCGATGACTTGACCCTTTCGACAATCGGAAAAAGGCGAGACGCGATAATTTGTGGCCTCGAGATTTTGGTGAAGTGAAAGAGACTCACTACCGGGTGTGTCTCAGAGGTCTTCATTTCAATGCAGCTTTAATTTAGCGCGCTTTTTGTCGCCTCCTTAAAGCCACAGCGCGTCTTAAATTTAAGCCCACCTCTCACTTCACATCTCTGCTCACTTTTCGTGCCGTCACTGTGGCGCAGCCGTATGTTAATGGAGACATTTAATTTCAAAAATTGACCTCTTTTAGCCACTTTTAATCAATGGAACGTCGTAGGTCGCTCATTTCACTCAATTCACTATCTCTTTTTCCAACGCCAAGGGAGTTCACACTGTTTGTCTGTGTTCGGCCGAAAAAAATTTGCGTCATCATGTGAGATCGTCTCTGCAAGACATATGGAAATTTGTCTCTTGCAAACAGACAACGCATTACACAAAATAAAAGACCAAATAATATTTTAATCACCAGAAAACATGCGATCATTCGCACATCGCTCAATTTAATTCGCAATATGTTATGCATCTACATTTTCTACACGCATTCAAATTGCCATGGAGATTTTCTCGACAATTTACTGATAGTCTAACGAAGTATTTTTAATTGCAATTACTCTATTGTGAATTTTGATGCAATTGCTTTTGCAATTGATGATCTATTCTATGCTATGATAATTTTTGTATCCAGAAGCAATGGCGAAGTGAGAGAATTTCGTGAGAATGATTTTTATGTTACAAATTTGCATGACAATATCGTGTCACAACAAACATGCATAAATGCACAAGACGTGTAAGTTTATTACTCTAAATACGGAAATAAGATGCTCGAGCGATTGAATGCCATTTGTAATTAGTGAGTTATGACTATGGTGCAAGAATCCTTATCTTACGTTTACTGATTTATTTGGTTTAAATCTCGCTTCCTACTTCCATCAACGTGATCTGACTGCACATCAGTATATTAAAAGTTAAACTGCGAAGAGGGAGTACACATATCTCCACCCGAAGTGGTTGTTATTTTAACAATCATCTCGTGTTTACACATCACATTTGTTTTCTCTTTGCCTTGGACATGTTTGAGAAAGGAGAAAAAAGTCCTTATCACCCTGATTTGTATTATATTGCTCATGTGTGTCCGATTCTATAACCTACCAATACAGCGATAGGGAAATTTGATAACGACATGAAGACGATTCTATGGTCGTATTGAAGTTATCTTGTTGGCTATACATATTCGGAAAAAATTCCAACACAGTCCTCCTTATCTATACCTAAGCCTCACTTACAATAAGTCAATTTGCAATTCATATATGTACATCTATTTAAATTGAATGTTTGCCTCTCAGAGACACTGCGAGGGCTTTATAGTGGCATATCGAGACTAAGGATTTCATATGGATCAGCTTTTGAATGAAATATCAACTCGTGTAGTGTTGCCAAGACATCAACGTCTATTAAATGATCTTTTATACGCCTGTCTTAATTGGACTTTTCCATGGCAATCAATTCAAGCATCTTGTAGATGTGTTTTATTTTGTCTTTGCGTCCGCTCTTGTCACTTGAGCTTATGAAATGTTCATTTCGTGATATTGATTTAGAAAGTCCACCCGAAGGTCGAACACTTGACGATATTGTGGGGGCTCGAGAAGGGCCCCAATCTATCAAGAGTGTGCTTCGTAAAGTGATGCGATCGTATATATGCGAAATCTATTAGGAAATCACTCTATGAAAAATGATTTCCATTCAATTCTGAAGTGATCTGTATATTGATTGGAATGATTTTAATGCCAGAAATTTTAGTGGCAATAAAATATTGACATAAAACTGTGATTTCAAATGAATGTGAAGGTCATGCAAAATTGCTAGATTAATAATTAGGAATACTAAAAGTATTATCAAAGAGAGTTTAGTGGATCTTTGTTTTTGTTTTGCATTTCACTTTTTACCGCAGCTCAAATTTGAATGACTTGAGAAATATCGCCCCGAAAATGCTTGATTGGGTTCAGGGCTTCATTGGCATAATCATTTGGTATCACATGGTTTGGTCCACTCTCTTTGAAAACACATTTTTTGTCATTTGAACTTGTAGCTTTTTCGTGTTTCACGTTTGACCACGAAAAGGTGATCGAGGAAATTCCACAGGCCGCTTTTGCAAGATTACGTTCAATGTTTGGCGATCATTGATCGTGGGATTTTGTAGTCCATTTGGCGGGAGTAGGAGAGCGAGTCTACAGCGAGCTTTGTTGATATATTCAGACAAGTCCGAGAGAAAAACTATACTATACCACAACACTATGCAAAGTAGGAATGTTTTCTCTATTAATTGGCACGATTTTCCGTCTAAAATTATCATGGTTCGAGGTTCGTCAATGTATTTCGTGTATTATAAATTACAACTACTCAGACTCTCTTTGCCCCCCGAACATTCATACATTACATATATATTTTTAGAGATATATATATAACGAAAAATATTTCTCAAAGAGAGCAAGCAAAAAGAAGGCAACAAGAGAGAGAGAATCGTGAAGAGCACGCACTTTATCAGTGTGTAACATTGGAATGAGTTCAGCTGTGAATACGAAAAGCTGACCATTCCATGGCTCAATCATCACATATTTAATGCTGATGGTGTTGGTCACTTCTGCGTGTTATGTGCAGAGAGGGAGAGAGAGAGAATGAGAGAACGCGAATGGGGCAGCGAAAAAAATTGTTGAGTAATCACGATCGTGTTGAATATAATTCTTTCTGTCTTTTGCGCCTATCTACCTAAGCAGAAAAATTTGTGCGTGAATACACTCGCACTTGATCGCTGTGGCTTTTTTACTCTACACACCACACTTCATATTCCGCCGCGAGTTGGTGGGCCACGAAGGGGGCGGGAGAGAATCTCTAAATTCATTCACTTGGGTCTTGAGTGCGATAAAAAATCTGATTTATGGAACAATTTATAATTAGCGCAATCTTTTGGCGATACATTTTTTCCTTCGTCTTTTTCGTAGAAATGCGCGATTCGTTGGGTTGGAATTTAAAAACTTAATTAAATATACGAAAAGGTGTTTTATTGCCATATATAATTGTGCCTGAGCACATTTCTATGTGTGTATGTATAATTCATGGATGAGGAAAAACTCCAGTGGAAGAGAAACGCCAAATGTGAAAAATGCTAACTTCTGGGAATTTGACGTTTATTTGATGCTCTTGCTCACGAGCGTTGAAGATCGGTTGGAGATCGCAAAGATACTTGTGTTAATGTATTGGAATTTCTCTAATAGGACATAGCAAAGAAAACTGTGGGTTTTCGTGGTGGAAAGAAATGTATTTCTGATGAATTGTATACTAAATATTTATTGAAAAATGAACCGGGAAAATTCGGTTTATGAATATTTGGTCGTAATTTGGTGGAATTTGGTGTCACAATTGCCGCAATTTGAGCAAATTAAACTTTTTCCCATAAGTAATTATAAAATGTAAATAATGCCATGTCTCATCACGATAAAATATCTGGTTTTACTTGGTACAACTGACGTCGGAGGAATCACAGGTGCTCAGCTTAATATGATACTTATTGTACATTATACCAGAGTTTTATGATTCGACTCTCACATCAACTATTGATCCCAGAGCAATTGCCGCGTACATGAGAGCTTGTGTGCACAGTGTCGTGGTTTCGGTGCGAGAATGTGCGTATTTTGCCGGTGAGTCGTGTATGATAAATTGACGATAGAGTGAAGAATTAATCGCGGGAAGACTATGGCGCAGGGTAACCTTTCAAGGCCGTTAGTTATTACTTTTGCTCACACCTCAATTGACATGCCATGAAAATATATAGAGTGTGAGATTTAATGTGCATTTTACGAT